TCGATGGATGTCAACTCGACTATAAAAGTTACCGTTCTTTGACACATACGAAGATAAAATTTGCAGGCAATTTTTTCGGAGATATTTTCACTTTTTTTACCCTAACATTGAAATATGTCTTTAAGAATAGAACAGAAGGGTATAACAATTGTATATAAATTTATTCTTTGAAATATTTTGAGCCATTCTTGAGATAAGCGTTTCTGAAATTTCGAAAATGTGAGCTCCTTTTTTAAAAGAAAAGCATTAAGAACAAGAGACGTTATTAGACATAATATGAAGCACTTGCCTTCACAAATGAAATAATATACAAAACACTGCAGTAATTTGAATATTCTCATTTAATGAAACTTTTAAGAAGAGTTTTTATTTAGAGTAAAATCTCTATCTCCATTACTGAAGTTGTAGGAAGACCTTTAATTTAAAAAAAACTTTATTTTGTTATTTTGGGAATTTCATATATTTTAACAAAACTGAGTCCTGTACCGCTTTTTAAGCGTCCTTTACCCTATCTGAGGAGAAAGTTTAATCGTAAAATTTGAAGCCTTAATAGAGAAAAAATTGAAAATGTCCTTGAGTCTTCGTGTAAATCACGCCCAAAACTTACATCTTCGCTTTCAAATTCAAGGGGCAACAACATCAATCCGATTGACTGTTTGTATGAACTTTGGCACAACAGCTCTTAACGAGCTAAGGCCTAACAGCAGAGTCCCGGCCTTGCGGCCATGGGTCCGATCGACTGAGAAATATCATTGTTAAAATCCTGCTTACGGTTTAGTCGCTAGCGTTGTACATACATAGAAAGACGTGTTGCTGAAAACCAATTCTTTGATATCAAGGTTTTGTGGATTGACTACACGAGGAAATAACGTACTACATACAGGAACAGGAATTATCCTTTTTTCGGTATTAAGGATCTGCAATAACAATTTTCTGCTGAAAAATCGCCGTTTTCCGCTACAGCATTACATAACCTTTTCTACTCGTTCTCTCGTATGTAGTATGCGAGAAAGTAAACATGAACTTTTTCTGAAACAATTCGTGCGTATCTCAGTAGTTTTATTGAAAGGGCCCTCAAAAAATAAAACATCCGTTTGAAATTCGAGGGGACCAGCGAGACCGACAATCGAAAAATATCAATTCCGCTGAATTTGACATCGCGCCGGTTGAGTCACCGCAGGAAACCCCAAGTCCGGCTATCTCCGGCCGCCATTGCAGCGGAGGCACGCCGGAAGCGGATGCTGCTACTACCGCTGCGGCGGCGGCGCAGCCAGTAGCCAGTTCAGCCACGGCGCGAATCGCGTCCGCTTCTGGCGCTAGCCCCAAGGCCTGCGCGACGTGGGCGGCAACAACACATCGACGGCCGCCTCGCCGCCACCGCCGCCGCCGCCGCGCAGATAAGCGCCGCTGCCGCCAACAGTACGCCGCCCGCCGCCCGCTCGCCCCAGCTGCGCCGAAGCCCCGCCGTGCGCGCCGACCAGTCGCTCGCCCGCCGTCCTGACTCGTGCCCGCTCGCGCCAGCCTGCCCCCGCCGAGCCGGTGCTTGGCGCGCTGCTACTGTGCGGCGCACACGTGCACGTGCGCCAGGCAAGCGGTAGCTGAGAGACGGAGCCGCGGAAGCGCGCCCGCCCGCAGACAGCGCCAGTCGCCATGCCGGAGAGACGAGTGAGTATAGCTTGTGCGCGCGAGGAGGGGAGCGTGCGGGCGTGGGAGTGAGGGCCGGCGGGAATGCGGCCCGCAGGATGCGAATGTTCAGCGACCTCTCGCGGGGGCGTGGTTGGAACGTGCGCCAAAGAATGTGCGGGGAAGGAGAAGAAAGAAAGAAATAGTAACTACACGAATGGGGAATCTATGGTCATTTAGAGCAAAAACTCAGCTTAGCAAGAGCTGTTGTTAGGTGTTATTTTGGTTTCCGATCGGTGCACACGACTCCGCTTCTCTCCACTAAGCCAATTCCCCTTCCTTCTCCTCCACCCCACCCCCTCTCACAAACGTACTCGACAAGTGATGTGCACTTCCTATAGGGACTTTCACCTGTACCTACTACGGTAGTTGTTTAATTAGTCCGGGCGCATTAACTACTATGGTCATTATTCCCGTACGCGTAGTGCATGTTTCATCGTGGGCGGGCCTCTGGTTGGCGAGATCCGACGCTGACCGTCGGGGCTTGCGTGATTTTCCCCAACCAGGTATCTCCCACCAGCCGGGCCTTGCCCCAGCCGGGACAAGCTCTTGTCTCTCGAAACATGTGGTAGTGCAGTGTATGAAAGTGTGTGTGTATGTTTGTAAATACGGGCTGAACACAGAAAAAGGACGAGAAAGAAGAGGTCACCCGGTTTCCGTGGCCCGTTTGATAGGGTATTACCGTAATTTGGTGTTCAACGGAAAAAACTCGAAAAACTATCAATCAGAGCAATCGGACGCTAGAATTCTCCACACCGTCTGAATCCCACCTAACTATGTAGCTAGTGTCGAAAATCCTGCCACCGTCGGGACTTGAACACTAGAACTCTCCGATCAGTGGCACTACAGTTACATCACTTGATGCCCTGAACCACCTACATCGGCTACTATATAGTTATTTACTCTTTTTTGTTGAAACCATGATGTATATGTCGATTGGTATGGAATGGCAAGGCACTTTTATGGCCATAAAGTAAACACAGCATTTGCTCAACAAATCACCACGAAACTATAATAAAAAACTGAGGAGGAAGGACGAGTAACTGTGCTAGTACGTGCATTTAAAATAGTAACGACACGAGTGGTAAATGTGACGTTTCCATTTGCGAGTAGGAGTGGTTATAACACAAAGCAGATAGGCTGAGTGGCGAAATCCTGCGAGCAAAATAAAAATCACTGTTACCTCGTATGTCGCCCATTTTTTAAAATCAGACTTTCTTGACTTTCACTTAATTTTGTATTTAAGTACACAAATTACATTATGACACGCTACGGTCAACAGTAGCTAAGGCAGCCACACGTTAGTAGTTTGTTTTCTTTGTTGCATTCAGAGATTTTTCTGAACACTTGCTCCCTTTTTTAAGGACTAGTGCTAAATATTGATTTTTAGCACCCTATGTCCGCCATGAAAGAACTGCTTTTAATGGCGTCTGTCTAAAAAGTTTTAAAACAAAAATATACTTTTTTTTGTTTGATATGACAGAATGTAGTGGTACGAAGCGCCTTAAAATCCACGAGGATTCATTATAACAACGAATGAGACGATCACGCGTACTCCACCGTAACTCTCAAACACCCATTTCAATTTTTACAAATAACGGAGGTGGGTTGGTTAGTTGTTTGTTTCTCAGTGATTCCGGGCGCGTCAACTACCGAGGTCATTAGCCCCGTAAGTGTAGTGCATGTCCTCCCTCCTGGAAATGGCGGTGATCCTTCGCGGCTGTTTCGCGAGATCCGGCGCCCACGGACCGTCGGCTAGCGGGGTTTCCCACACCCAGGTATCTCCCACCAGTGGGACGCCGCCCCAACCGCGACAAGCTCTAAGCTCCCGACCGGCCCCGGCTTGTATGGTAGTGTAGTGCATGTTGGGGTATGTGTAAAGGGTGAGGATGGGACAAGGAAGAGGTAGGAAAGATCGCGCGCGGTCCGTGGTCCGTTTGTTAGGTAAGTTCTCCGGCATTCTGCTGGTGTTGATAGGAGAAAGGATGGAAAACTACCAATCAGAGCAGCCGGCCTCTAGAATTCTCCTCCAGACAGCGATTGAATTCGACCTAGTGACAAGTTTAAGTCGACATTTTTGCCACTCGTCGGGACTCGTATCGAGGAACTGCCGGTCAGACGCACTGCATTGACAGCTGTTGATGCACTGAGCTATCTCGCTACCTCTACCGCTTCAACAAAAAATAACTCACGATATTTCCGAAATCCGCAAAACGAGCTCCTCTCCATTCGATTATTCCCCGATATTGTGATTGGTATGACCACGATTATTACTGTTACGAGATTTATGAAATTCATGAGTGTTAATGAATAAAATACATCTTAAAGTCAAATGTGTTCATGAAAGTTAGTCAAAGAACACATTCATAATAACACCAGGCATACTTTTCAGAAATAGTATTAAAGATGTTATCATTAAAAATAATCGACACACAATACTAAGATACACACATACACAGAAAACAAGAGGCTTCAACATCGAGTTGACTTTTTTTTTCAAGTCAAATATATGTTTATTAGTATTATTTTTTTCTTGAAACAAATACAGAATTGAAAATTCAAAAACATTACAACATGATAGCACATGATTGTACTTAAAATCATTATTTTGTCTAAAACATATTTTTGTGTTTCTTATAAGTTTGCTCTTGGGTGTTTCTCAATTAAACATTAATAAATATATGTTGACAATGATTACGCTTTAATTTATAAAGCTCAATCGAAATATTTTTTTCTTGCAAATGTGTAGTCTGTATCTCATACTCAAATAATGATTTAATATTTTAAAATAAAAGTATTCAATGAATTTGCAAGTAAAATAGGGCGCAGTGATGTCTCATTCATTTTTGGACTTGAATAGCTTATACGAAATGTATATCCAAAGCATGTATATACCTATATGTGTGTATATATGCAAAAGTATCTATACGCATATGAGATTACACTGACCACATGGACGTGAAACCATGTTTTTGTGAGGCATTCTTGTCTTTATTCCGTTTCAAGTCTTAAAGACCTTGTGCTTCGCAAACAATTCGTTGCAGGAAGCAATTAGTAACTCACAAAAAAAGAACCTTTTTTGTACAAATGAAACACAAGACAACTTACTAAGAACAAAGCTGTCTGAAAATCGACTTTCAAAGAATGAGTCATCCACACGCACCTCAATAGCACACTTCCAGGAGAAAGCAATCCGCAAATGATTCCTTAAAAAATTCAAGATTTTAAAGATCTAGTTGAATGGTATTTTCCTACAGAAATTCTTAATTACCATTGATTAATAACGTCAACTAACGGAGAACATATGATTATACGGTCTACACACCTGAAAATAAATCTTTCCAAATTTAAACCTGAGAACGCAACATTAGTACACCTCTAGCCATCAAGTGTTGAGAGAACTGTGGTAGACCAACATCTGTGACAAACGCTGGTTTTGTGCATACTCTAATAAAATCTTCACGACTACAATCGGCGAACAAGACTTTTGCAATTGTTGCTTTGGTGGTATAATGAGACCATGAACCATGAGTTATAAAGTAAATTTGGAGCAACCCTACGCAGCAAAACCGATGTCGTTTACTGCACGAAAATGTATAGTGTATTCTGCATGTCGCCATAATTAGCAAATAAATGAGTGTATTTGTTTTTGTACTTATGGCAAAATATCTTAAGCCAAATTTGAGATAATTGCTTTTTATTTGTGAGATGATGTCACATGCTATCAGGAATTAAGACTTTCGATAGTCTAGAATGGGGAAGCTTTCAGGGAGGTCTTGAGAAACACGAAACTACAAAACAAGATCGACACTGTTATTGTCGAAACCAGTAAAGGAAACTTCTATTCTCATATTAAAGAAAGAGCTGAGTCATGTGATAGAAAGCTTGCGTCATATCCGCACAACTTTATCGTGCTGAAGAATACCCGCAAATGTAAAAAATTAGAATTGGAATGAGAAGAATGGAAATATTCTCTTGAGCTCAACATGCTTAATGATTATCTGCAAACTTAGTATTTCTTAAAGAATATTATCTAAACGCGTGTCTCGAAGGTGTAGCCAAAATATGCATATTCGATGTCGAGCTGTAGGAAGATTATGATATTACTTCTAATATCGTAAACTTCTACGGTATGTGTGTGTGTGGGGGGGGCAAGTCATCACTTCTTGGCAGTGAACATGTGGAAAGTATCATACGCACGTGACATTTCCGACACCACGACCTTTAATGGTAGGCAACATTTTGTACTGGTGTTTGGCTGGCACAGGAACTCTTAGGGGACAACCTGGCCAGTAGCAATGACAATATCTTTTTTTTTTTTTCTCATTTGACTGCATCAGAACGTGCTCGCGGTTATTCGCGGTACTTCGAAAAATGTTTGTAGACAAAACAAGACAAGACAACAAAACTCCATATTTTCTTTATCATTAGACAGGTCGACCACTGCTATTTCTAATATCTGCCAATTAACAGTGTATGATGACTTGCATCTCAAAAAGAAGCGCGATGACCGAAATGTCACTTCATTATATGATGTTTCTTACGTTCTTTGCCAAAAAGAGATGAACCTTGACCTCTGACATGACATAGAGATGTGTAACATTTCTTTTCAGACACCGTGTTTCATGCTGTAAATAGTGTTAAAACGTTGTGTTCAATCCCCTCAACAAAAGATCTCGTATGAGAGTTTTCAAAACATCCGTGTTTTTAGGTTGTTGATGTATTCTTTTTTAATAAAATAACCATACGGATATTCTATATTTTCAGTTTGACCACAGTTATCACTTCCAATGTTATCTCAGATAATTATTTCAGTTTTCTTCTGATGTTACTCCTCAATTCTATGCCATGACAGGTGCTGAGTTTACGTTGACTGTTCCTCCTCATCGTACTGTTGAATACTGTGTATGCATTCTTCAGCTACCTTGCTACGAAATTTTATAATAAACTACAACAGGATATGAAATCACTGCCTTCGCCATAATTCCGAGATATGTTGCAGAATTTCACCAAAATTAATTTTTAGATTCTTTCTTATTTTGATTGTTTCGGTCTCAATATGTTAGCATTCTTTATGTGTGCTGAATTATTACCCTACTTCGTACTCAGTGTGAATTTTTATGTAGTTCTTTCTTTTTTTCGTTTTGTATTATTAATAGCTTTACTGTAGTTGAGTTTGTAAATTAGTGTTTAAGCACTGAGATTCCACATTTATATGCTATTGTTAATGTATTATTATAACTATTGTAAATTATTATTATTAAAAAGCAGTTATAAATTGAACGCTTCAGTTAATTCAATTAGTTTAATTATTGAACTCTTTCATATCGACAGCAATAATAGTGGAAGATCAGAAAAAGAGAGGAAACTCGACATTCCGGAAGCGCGTCGCTTTCGTATAAAAGTGGGAGCGTTGCCCCTAGCGAGACAAATGACAACAAATCACGGCGCTTGGAACTGATAGAGGCACAGAACGCTCTTCTTTCTCTTTTATTTTTATTTCTCGCTACCGCTTCTGCGTTAGAGAAATAGTTATGTAATGCTGCGCGAAAAAGCGGCAAATTTTTGGCAGAAAAAATCTTAATTCTGGTCCCTGGCAAACGAAAAAGTTGATACGTTCAGTTGCTAAATTTAGAAAAAACAATCCTCAAACATGTGGTGTACCCATCCATATTTTGTAGAACCTTGAAACCGAAAAATCGAACTGCAAAACGTTTGTCTGTACGTCCATCGTCTGTGAACAACTCTAGCGGCTAATACATTCAGCCGATTGTCTCTAAAATTGATATTCCTCATTCGATCTGGCTGATGTTGCGACCTCTTGAATTTGAAAAAGATACTTTAATTTTGAGGGGTATTTTACATGAAGCCCTTGAAACATTTTCAAAATTTAAAAAAAGCTTCATTGTTTTTTATTAAATTATGTTGGTGGATAGTGTAAAGGACGTTTAAAGAGTGCAGGTCTCTTTTTCGTAGAAAGCTCTAATTTTTGAAAATTGCAAAAATTCAAAATGTTTTTGGCGTCTTCCTACAACTACAGTTATAACGATAAAAATATTTGTCTCTTAATGAAATCTGTTCTTAAAAGATAGATTTTGAAATAATGTAATTTATATGGGGCAGATTTTAATGAAATGTTATTTTTTCCTTTTCGCTTTAAAGCAATGGTCAAAACAAAATGACGCATTTTTACACATCACTTTTTTGCATTTTTCGTCGATTTCGACTAATAAGTCATTTTGTACCAATTTACGTAATTTTACGGCATTTTTCGCTGATTTAATTAATTTTAATATCATTTTAATGGTACCTGCTTCAAACAAGGTGCAACAAATGTTCACCACAGAATTCCTGACTAGAATATTCGATTTTTTCGCTCATATATTGTAATGACAGCCGCAGTGAGTATTATGTAATGTAAGGTTCCAGTGACGCGTATCGGCGCCATTGTCAGTTCGGCCGATTTCGCCATAAATAAAGGTATCGATTTTCTTTTAAAAATCAGTCCAAACCAAAAGTTTTCAAGCTGAGTTCAGTTTAACAAAAGAAAGAAGCCTCGAGTTCTGTTCATCAGAAGTCATCTATTTTTACGTCATTTTTCTTTGTTCTTAGGGCATTTAAAACCATTTTAATGATCATTTGTGGCAATGTTTTAGGTCATCAAAATCCGCCTCCAAGTCATGGACAATTTTTCGAAAATTTGAGAACTTTTCGCGTCATATTGCGTTAAAATACGGGCGAGAAAGTACGTGCTGTTGTAGCACCACAAGTTTGTAGTGCTGAAAGGCAATAATTGTTTTAGGTTTGGGCAATTAATAATCTCTAGTGTCGTAGCTAAGGAGGATGGATATATGAATTCTCTCTCCCTTCAAATAATTTTAATATGAAGTTTGGCGTGGTTTCTACAATAGTAATACAAGCATATTTCGAAAATTGTTAATCCCTTCGCGTTGAAAGTGAAACTAATTTCTGCTTAGAACTACGAGTTTTTATCGATAAATGTAATCCATTATTTTCGTAATATTCAACCTATTAAAAATAGTTTCGTACATTTTTATTATTTTTCACATTGTTTGGCCACCGCTTACAGAGTAATTATAAATTAATAAAAACCAAGACCACAGTCAAATTAAATCTCCTCCAAAGCGAATAATGTTAAATGTTACTGAACCAGTATTCAAAGAATAGATACCGGAAGAGATGGTTCAAGGCATCAATGATGTCACTGCAATTCCTCTCACCGGAAGGGCCTAGGTTCGAGTACCGTCGGCGAGAGGATTTTCGACACTAACTTGGCAGCTAGGTCAAATTCAATTTGAATTAATGCTTTATTTTACGTGGCGAGACTCAGGTCATGAGGCCTGCTCTTCCGTCTGACCACGCAAATTCCGCTACGCTCCTTTCACTAACTAGCAGAGAAAGAAGGTATTTCTTGGCGATTTGAATTTACCTCAGAGGCGTCATTTAGGCTTGAGGATATTTTACGTCCAAGTAAATCTACTGACATGGAACAGAGCTAGCTTTACTTTCCCTCCGAAGGAAGGCGTACGAATGATATGTTCGCCCTTAGAAATCCACGGCTTCGATCGGGTTTGAACCCACCAACTTGGGTACAACAGTCCGGTACGCTAACCATTACACCATCGCGCCGAATTCAATAATTGTCTGGAGCAGAATTCTTGTGGCCAGCTGCTCTGATCGGTAGTTTTCTGTGGTTTCTCCGATCAACACCAAGCAAATGCCGGAATAGTACCCTAAGAAACGAGCCACGGACCGTGTGCGAACTTTCCTACCTCTTCCTTTTTTTCCTCACCTCACCCCTTACACACACTTACACCAACATGCATTACAATACCACATATGCCGGGAGACCGGTCGGGAGCTTAGAGCTTGTCCCGGCAGGGGCGGTGTCCCGGCGGTGGGAGATACCTGTTTGGGGAAAACCCCGCGAACCGACGGTGCGTCGGCGCCGGATCTCGCAATACAGCGGGGGAAGAACCCCCCACCTCCCGAACAAAAACATGCTCTACACTTACGGGATTAATGACCCTAGTAGTTGACGCGCTCCGAAACACTAACAATCAATCAAAACATTGGTGGTTCGGGGGTTCATCATTGACATTGACGTCGGGTGTGACGGGGGTTCCTCAATCAAAACATCGGTGGTTCATCATTGACATTGACGATTTGTTGGCGATGTCGCCCCCTCACCTTTGATGGCATCGTTGACTACGCCCACCGCCGCCTTCCACAGCTCCTCGGGGTCGATCTCCACGTGACCCGGCTGCGGGTACAGCAGCCGCACCTGCAACACAGACGCGCCAAGTTTATTTTATTTTTTCAAATCTTTATTCTTCCTGTTCAACATTTATGTTTTACAAGAGTTTCAATATTTCGTAGCAATTTTTAAAAAAATACAAGAATACAAAATAATAGTTTAACAGAAAATAAATGTTTCCAGATAATTATTAAAGCTCATTGGTTTATTCGAAAACACGCAAATTCTAAAAGAATTGGAAATTGAACCTCTCGAACAATACAATAAAATCAACACAACATCAATACAATCATTCAACATCATTACATCAAAAGTAAAACTACAAACTTCTGTTTCAATCTCTCAGCGCCACCTTGCACTACTACATTCATATTAGGTGAATCCAAACAAAATTGCCGAATACGTTCACAATATCCAAGCGATATGTTCCGGCCACCATGAATATTTAGTGAACACTCTCATTGAAATTTTAAATAAAATTAACTGAATTATTAATATAAAAATTACTTAGCTCATTTCATTCGTTACATGTCAGTTACACGAAGGTTACCAGCCTCTCTGACGACTGTGGGATCGTCCCATTTTTAAATGGAGGGTGGTCAGAAAATGATGGGGGAGTGACGCATTTTTACATCTTAATGGGCTTCAATAATGAGTAAACACATCAACAATATATCAAATGAATTGGGCTCTATTTTTATGAAAATGTATTAATTGACCCTAGATTACAAAGGCGACCTGCACCAAGCATTATTAAAAGGCGTAATCTGACAGAATACTTATAAAAATAAAGAAAAACCCATTTTTACAATGAAAATCTTGGATTGAACGAAATGGATTGAACATGTATTACATGGAGTTACAAAATACATTTTAGAGGTGTTTGTAGATACATCTCAATGGCTTAACTCTCAGAGCACACACTTGCTTAATGCTGCCCACTCATGGCTTTGCGAAGCGTCTGTAGAGGTACCTCGTCATGCGACCACATTCATGATCGTTATCGTTCCATTATGATCGCTCGATGTTCAAAACAAAATTAAATACTACAAGACAAAGATATTGTGGTCATTATTTACAATATTAGCCAATATATCACCAATAATATCACTGGCGGAACTACAAAGGCGACGCGTGTTGAAATGGCGTGTACCGGAAATAGGCACGAGTACAACGTTACGTGTATGGCACTGGGACACAATGAAAGAACCCAGTTAGAGAAACGGAGTGTGAGGGGAAGGGGGTGGGGGACGTTTTCGGCACTAGTTGCGTCTTCTAACAGAAGACACCTTTGTAATGAAATACATGGAAAAGGTATTACTCAGCAAGCCTCGTAAATGTAACAAACCTTTAGTGTAAGTAGAGTGGTCGTATTTCATTGTTTTGCAAATGAACATGAGGTGGGAGGGAAATTTATGTAACGGAGTTACACGAGTCTTCCCCTGATGTCAAGGCAACACCTTATGCACAGATGCTTGGAAGGTAACGTTCTACGCGGTCAAGGATATTTCATGGACTTGCCGAACATCTGTGCTTACTGGGTTGCCTAAAAATCAGGGGCAAACTCAACGTGTATACATGCATATAATTTTCTCGTATGAAATCTCCCACAATACGTTCGTTTGCAAAAAGTGCCCATTTGTGATCCCTTTATGTACCCTAGATTTTTTTCTATTTATTTCGGTACAGCCTGTATTGATGTACGTATATGTAAGACAATATTATACTTACGATGTAGACGTAAAAATGATAAAGATATATAATATTTGTCCACATTGTAATGTGTTGTGGTGTAGCCAGATGCATGCCATGATAAACAATCTGATGTCTCTTCAGTGCTTCGCTTTTTATTTCCTCACTATCGCTTACGTAGAGGAGAGAAAGTTGTGTAATGCTACGCGAAAAAAACGGCAAATTTTCGACAGAAATAGTATATTATGCCATTAGTTCATAATGTTGTTCTTTTTTGCACGACTAATAAGAGCCGCATAAACAGCGAAGGAAGAATGCATCTATTCTTATGAATGCAAAAAAGTTACATTATAAACGAATTGCATACTTTTTTTGTATAACATCATTATAAAATTATTATAAGGGTAAAATGGTTACTGAACCTCGAAGTAGAATGGTATGTTACGTATATAATGTAGGCCAAGGCCGGCTATAATAGGGGCAGTCGTGGTTGACCTGGGGGTTTATTGTTCGTTGTGAAATAGATTTACCAGAGGCAATAATTAATGAGGTCGCTAAAGCAGAATTGTCGCTAATGCCTAGAAAATTAGCTGAAAAAAGAATATAATAAATTTGTAACTTGGATGGAAGAGAAAAATACGAATGACGCTCAACTAGTGACGTAGCACAATACATTGAGGAGTCAGTAGCAAGTAAGATTAGACCATTAGCCATAACAATTGTATCAGGGGGAGAGATGCCGAACACAGGCGGACCTTCAAAACCCCCCACTTCAAATGAAACAACTGTTTCTGGAAGTTCTGGTTTTCTTTTACGAATGTTTCGAACTACACATTTCATTGTCATTATTAATAAGTATTTTTTCAGTAATGATTAGTTAAATTTATATTTCGTACAGTTTCTTTTGTCGATTTGTAATGTTATGTTAGAGTAAATAAATACGCCGTACTCCCGGTAATTGCTTGATGACGTAAGTTATTTTATTGAAGTAGCTTCACAATCCTGCAGTTTCTGTACGATTTTCGATGCCATAAGAGATTGTGAATAATGTTGGTATACAAAAAACTTAAATACCCTGATAACGAAAAAGTTGATAAATCCAGTTGCTAAATTTAGGAAAAAATACTCTAACACGTCGTATACCCCATGTTTCATGGGTTTTTGATACTGCAAAAACGGAATGACGGCAAAACGTTTGCTTGTCTGTCCGTCCGTCTGTGAACAACGCTAGCGGCTAAACCGTTGAGTCATTTTTTTCCAAAATTGATATTTCTCAGTCGATCTGACTGATGTTGCGGTCCCTGGAATTTGAAACTGATATTTTAATTTTGGGAGTACTTTACATTAAGTCCTAGGGACAATTTCAAAATTTTCAAAAAAATTACTTCATCGATGTTGATAAACTTTAGTTTTCAGACAGTGTGAAGGACTTTTAAGTGAATGGTGCAGGTCGCATTTTCGTTAAAAAAAAAACAAATTTTTCGGAAAGTCCAATTTTTTCAATGTTTTCCTACGACTACAATATTGAAGATACAAATGTTTTCAGTTAATAATGTTTAGTATTATGTTTAGTAAAGCCTTCGAAGACCTTAATCAACTTCTAGTCCCGATTTACATGCATTCTTTTGTCAAACAATTTCGAGAGTTTTAGCCCGATCACTCCACCCGCGTAGCGGATCTACCTCCTCAAACTGCGCAGCGCAAATTCAGTTTTTGTTTTCGGAGTCTTCCTAAATTATTAAAAAAGAAATATTTTCTCTCAATAAAATCTGTTCTTTAAAAATGCATTTTAAAATAAGGTCATGTACAATCTTTAGTACTTCCCGCTAATTTTGCGTGAAATGTAGGCAACTTTAAATTTTGTTTAAATATTTTTTTCTCGAAAATGTTTCCATTGTTTTTTATTCAATTTTGTTGTATAGTGTGAAGGAAGTTTAAGAGAACGATGCAGGTCTCATGATCGTTGAAACTCCGATTTTTAGAAAATAGAAAAAAAAAATCATTTTTTTCGGCAACTTCCTACAACTGCAATTATGAAGATAATATTTTTTTTCTTAATGAAATGAGTTAATGAAAAACAGATCTAAAAATAATGACCAGTTCAATTTTTCTAAACTATGAGTATTTTGTGCGAAATTTTGTGTCAAACATTGGCAATTTTTATTTTCTTTAAACATTTTTTTCTTAAAAACTGCAAATTTATTAAATTTGAACCTTAGGTAGCGTAAAGGATGCTTACGACATTGGCGCAGATCTAGTGTTCGTTCAATCGTCTGATTTTTCGAAAATTTAAAAAAAAAATAGTATTCCTACAACTACAATTGTGAAGATACATGTTTTCCCTTAATGTCAGGTGTTCATCACAACCAGATCTTCAATTTGTGTCATGTTGAATTTTTTGAAAATATATGTATTTTATGGTTTAATTTGGCGACAAACATAGTCACCCACTCCGAATTTTCTGCGCGTCGTGAACATAATATGAGTCAATTCTAGTCAGTTAGATGCCACGTAAGTTAGAATTTGTATATTATTTCATAGTTCATTGCTCGTTTCTTACATTCGAGCTTTTGTTAACCGTTTACAAATTAATCTTTTATAAATTATTTAAAAGTTATTTTAAATCATCTTTATTTGAGTTCAATGTGAAAACGAATAGATGATTTCACTTTGCGTAATAAGATGTGAGAATGAAGAGTGATGCGTGTAAAAATCGAGTAATTTTGATGGATATAAAAATATATTTAATTATTACATTTTTCTATCCATTTTCATTTCCTTGCTAGAGGTATCAATGCTAATTTGGAAAATGTATATCCCATACGAATAAGCGGTCATTATTTCTTTCTCCCTACAGAGTAGAGAGAAAATTATGTAATGCTGCGCGAAAAAATGGCGAATTTTCGACAGAAAAACTCTTATTACAGGGCCCTGGTAACGAAAAAGTGGATAAATCCGCATGCTAAATAAAAAAATAAATTTAAAAAAGTCCTCTATTTCGGGGTGAAGCCTGAATCCATGTTTTGTGGGTTCTTGATACCGAAAAATCGAATGGCAAAACGTCTGTCCGTCCGTGAACAACACTACCGGCTAAACCGTTTAGCCGGTTTTCTCCAAAATTGTTGTTTGGGTACTTTACCTCAAGCCCCTGAGACATTTTCCACAATTCGAAATTTTTGGCTTCATTTTTTTTATTAAACTTCGTTGTCGGATAGTGTGAAGATGTTCAAGTCCCTTTTTGTTGAAATCTGTACATTTTTGAAAATTTCAAAAATTCAAAACATTTTCGGTATCTTTCTAAAACTACAATTATGAAGATAAAAACAACTTTCCCTTAATGAAATCTGTTCCTTAAAGATATATTTTGAAATAAGGTCATGTAAGATTTTTCGAAAATTTGAGAACTTTTAACGTAATTTCGCGTGTTTTCGTTTAAATGTTTGATTTTTTTAAAAAAAAAAGAATTTTAGTTTTGTTTAAAAATTTTGCACATGGTGGTAGAAGTGTAGATAGAACGTGTCATATTACAATATTACGTAGCCATAACAATATCGCGAGAAAGTACGTGCTATTGTAGCACCTATAGTTTTGTGTGTATGTGTGTGTGTGTCTGTGTGTTTTCGGTTTTCCATTCATGAATAATATCTTAAAGTTATAGGTCTTAATAGCCCCATTTCGTACCTATCAATTTGTTGATGACATCATTGCAGAAGTCACTGTAGACCAACTAAGAATATTAGTAAGTTAGATGATAGCTGGTAACAAAAAAAACTGAAAATAACGAAAAAATTCTGGTTTTCATATCAAATTCAACGTTATTTTTGTTGTTAGACTTCTTCAGTTTCCCATTGTCTCAAATTTCAAAGTAACCAGGTTCGTTGATCATCCTGAAATTCGTCTGAAAGATTACTTGCCCTCTCGCTTTGCTGGTGAGTTGTTTTTTCTTCAAGACTTTACAAATGAGACTAAATGTCATTGCAAAAGTAAATATGAAAGCCAACCCCCCAAACATATCTTTTCTAAAAAAGTATATCATAAAACTGTCCGTGGGTTATTTTTAACTGTTATCCGAAGCCAGTTGTACATATTCAATTACTTCCACTTAGTAAAAATCTTATCTTCAAACTACGGCGTGTTTATTACTTTATTTTTCAAATTACTTCCCCAAGTCCTTCGTCCCTACAATTACGATCATTCATTCATCAAAGTTCTAAAACTTACGAGTGTAGCTATGTGTTCACAGTTCTAATACTGGAATACTTAAAATCAACTTAAAATAAACTTTTTTTACAAGCGGACAACTAGGAAAGTTGAATCTAAAATTTAAATAAAAAAATAAGAGGGATGAAATTAATAAACTTGAGAATATAGGTGTTGTGGTGCGATTATCTTTGGGCATTTTTCATCAAACCACTCAATTGAAGGACGCTCATTGCCAAAAACAAATATTCATTTAATGCCCCAATAGCAGCTTTTCGATGCTTAGAGCTCGATCATCAGTCGATGTTGTGGACATTCATCAGTTAAAACTGATTGATGCATCCATGAAAATGATCCATCGTACAGGCTCGCTATTGCCACTTAAATACATTTAGTGGCTCAATGACAACGTCTTTAACATTATTTTATTTTAATGAACTTGAGTTTAAAAAAAGCTAACATCAACAAAAAAGATCTGACTTGTTAAAAAAATTTCGACATTCACAATGAGCATTTGTTAATCATCACTGCATTTACTATTTACTTTCGTATTATGTTTGATTTGGTATTGAAATTTTCTACAAATTTTCTTACAAATTGCATTCTCTTATTACACACAACTCACGTTAATTCTGTGAGCAAATACCTCCTAAAATACTGTAGTTTCGTCTGTTTTTTACGCTAAGTACATAAACACTGAGATAGACTCGTTTGTTTCCACACGAAAGACTTTCCCTTTCAAAAAATCTTATCGAATATTCTACTTTTGATTTCGATAAATTACATATATTTATGGTTTGCTTTAAATGCCAATTTTTCTGCATGCAACCTTCTCTGCATGCGCTCTAAATCATCTGGAAATGCATTATCTTTCTGGATGGCAATAAGAGTTTCCATTTTCATTTAACGACTTGAATTTCCCGCACAAGGTGATTTTGATAATTCGCGCAGTTTCGCGACTACTTCATACGAATAAAAATTAAATACCTTGCAAACGTGTAGGGACAGGTTACATCTTGACTATATTGCTCTCAATTTAGAATGATTAAAATGCAAAAAATGATTAAAAAACAATTGAAAAGTTAAATATAATTTTACAAAACAATATTCAGTATTCCATATTGGTGAACAAAGTTTCGAATGTGATTTACAAGGAATAACTTTGTATTCCAAGACGTAGAAATAATGCAATTGACCCGAAAACGGTTTATATTTCGTGAAGAATATAGCGCATTACTACCAAAATAAGAATGAAATAGTGTTATCACAGGGAACAGTATTGGTAAGAATTTTTTTTATTTCAATTACGAACATTCCATCGTTATCGAATTATTAAGAACATTAGAGATTATTTCACCAACCTTATCACATGCTGACCCCACAGCTGTAGTAGATTGGTCGAAAATGTAACATCGGATGGTTGTAGTTCCGACATCCAGAGCGGCCACAAATTTCCCATCCATGCTATCTGTTGGCGGTTTCAGGACGCACGAGTCTGTGAGCTGACGATCGACACATCCACCGGGCAGCACAGGAACCCGGGCACAGACAATCTCGACGACACGAAGCGTGGCACGCAGTCCCCCAGCGCACTTTGTCAACAGATGATTTCCTTCCAATCATACGATTCTGATAGATGAAGGAAGCAAGTAGTAACGTCCTAGTAACTCCGTGAAACTGTAAATGCCTCAACTAAAACGCTACGACCACTGCTCGCGTGGGAGACACGGTTTATCTCAGCCCGCAGGCGCGAGCCAATAACTAATGGTTCTGCGCATGTGTCAAAATGGCGGCACACTACTGGTCAATAAATGGCGCCACATTTGAAATTTCCATTCCTGCGCGGCCATGAAAAATTTGCAGTGATAACTATTTCTTTTCTTTTTAATAAGAAATAAAATTAATTTCAATAATGTATTTCAATTTAATATATAATGGCAGATTATTAAAGCTTTATGTAAATATGATTCGCTTGAAATATGATAAAGTTGGAATTTATCTTGCATAAAATAAAATACTTAAAAAATAAAACACCAAATAATTCATAAGTTAAGTTAGGAAAAATTAAGAACACTCTTTTCAGTTGTGTCGTGCCTTTTATTGGTGTATATTTTGTAGGAAATTGGGTTGTGTCTACTTCTTGTAGTACTGTCATACATACATACATACATAAAGTTCCTCAAACTGCATTACAGAAATAAATCTGTAATAACCTATGAGTGTGGTTAAGTATTCAGAGAGTAACAAATTATTAAATTAACATTGTCTGTAATACATAAGAATTGCTTTGAAAAGCCTGTTGTTTGTGTAGTACTAATTGGAATACAAATTGGTCACTCTCACAATACAATATATTTAAAAAAAGACATAAAACACACGGTATAAACACCACACAGCAATATTGAACAAGATGAGACAGTGAAATCAATTCTCTTGGCCAAACTGCACCCACATAAGTTTGGCTAATTTTTTGATTCTGGTGTCAGATCTTGTAAAATGTGAATGTTCAATTGATATCATTCACAATAAAATTTCTTTACGAGAGTTAGCAATGTGTACATAACAGTATGTATGACACACACTTCATTTGTAGATCATCTCTAATTATACTTTAAAAATAATGTATATAAAATTGAACTCTTATAAATCTCAGCAACAGCTGTGAAATTTCAACAATAGTAAAACAATTTAGCAGAAAAGTTCAAGTCATTTGTCTTGTACGTATCAAATCTTCTCACTTATTCTCACAGTATGTTTTTCTCATTCGAGCTGACTAGAGATTGATGACTCATTCTTCTTGCCTCAAATGTTGTACGTGGTTCTGACTTCTGAAATTGATAAAACATATACCTGTCACTTGTGATAATTCATTTTCCACAAAATAGTAACATCAAACAAAATTAATAATTTCTTCTTAATAAATAACTCCTTTTCAAAGATAAACATGTGTCATTATTGAAATAAAACAATATTTTAAGGGAATTTTCAAAATTATTGGGATAAGGAAATATTAAAGCACAAACACAAATAAACAAATGCACTTGTTTGCATACAATTGCAGAGATTAGACATAAACTAACATTTAACTCCTTTAATATTATTGTTTGTCCCCATTGATAATTTTAAATGCCACTTTAGTTATTAAAAGGTGGTGGGAATTTAAATAAATGAATTTAAATACTTTTTTTCCTTACATTTGTCATTAATGTCTCAAGTATTTTCAACCAGATTTTAATCCAACTTACAAAGTTTATGCATCATGGCCTGCCATTATTTTTACTTATAAAACGCACTATTGCCTAATACTTACTTAATGTACTTAATAACAAAATGCACTATTGCAATTTATAATACTAACTGAACATCTGAAAAACCAAATAGCCTAGAAAGACAATAAGCATGGATAATATTCATTAACGTAAAACTTAAATGTTCTCTCCAAATAATTAGACAAATGTAAAGAACTATAATTTTAAAATAATTAAAAATTAAGTTGTTTATAAAATTTGTTTTGTTGCAACATGCCAACAACTGTTATCTTTTAGAGTCAATATTTTTTAAAAAGTTGCTAATAATATGGAACATCCAGATAATCACTAACTTTACTCACAGGTCTGTGTTCATGACCATGAAGTAAGAAATTACTTTTAATCAACTATTTTTAATGATGAGTATGTGCAATAAATATTCCTAAATCATTACACATATCATCACACACTCAATTTAATAAATTATATTTTTAAAAAGTATCATATCAATAAAAATAGTATTTACCTTAAAAATCTTATTTCAATTTTAAAATAATTGGATATTTATTTTAAAAAACAAGAACATACTTTTCCCCAATAAAAAAAGATCATTATTGAAATAAAGATATTTATGACATGGCAAAGAATAGGAAAAGGTTAGTTTAATAGAAAAGAAAGATTGCAAGAACAATTTGGGTCAACATAATTATTTTCTTTGTAAGAAAGATCATAATATCCAAAACTTTGCAGCTAAACAATTCAAAAATAAAGCTGGCAAAGTGAGTTCTCTGTTTTACATTTGATTAAATAATTTGTTAAGCTAGAGATGTACAATTTGCCTAATATAGAAAAATAGATAGTATATAACATTTAAAAAGTGTGACTATTTCATATTTCACCAAAGGTGATGTGTGCATATTTCTTAATTTATCTATATTATAGGTTCTACTGAAAATTTTATTAACAAGTGCTAAATATATTCAAATATAAGTATAAAATCAGAAGAACTTATTGACACATGCATGTGGATGAAGAATAGTCCCAACATCATTTCATATCAGATTTTTCAGTTCCTTCAATTTCATTGACATACTCATGCATTGATTCAATCTTAAACATTTTGTATACATTTCATTGCAAGAGTAATTTTTCATGCACACAGACTTAAGTTCATGCAGAAGAAATTACTTTTCTCCTACACCATAGAAAAGGTTTGAACAGGATAGAATTGTTATACTCCTTGATTTTCATATTAACTAATTTTAACTTTGTCAGATTACTCATCATTAAGTACCTAAAATAAGTTTGAGGAGTTTTCTTAAATTCTTTCATAAACAAAGCAAATAAATGCAGAGCATTCTTAAGGATCATGAAGACCCCATAAACATAAATTGAAACTCTTAGTTATTGAACCTCTCAATCAAAATTATGAAATACTTTCTTTAAAATTGTTTTCAAAATAACAGAAAATTTATCACAAAAACTATCCAAAAGCAAAGTTTTGTGTTGTATATACATGTGATTTTTTTTATCAGACAATGTTTTGATAATTTAAACATATTATTAACATATCTCAAAAAATGGAAAAATTATTTTAACTATAATATTAAGTTATGTTAATATTTCATATAATAAATTTTATAATAATCAAGTGACAATATCTTACAAAAACTTGCCTGGATTCTACTATTCTACTGCTAAACTTTGAAACTGTAAACTTTTACTTGAAAAGTTTACAGTTATTAAACACATTAGTTATTAAACATATTAGTCAAGCATTTATCTTAAAGATTACTAGAGCTCTGTATAGATTCTTTACTTCATGGAAATCATTTTCAAGTTTCCTTTTCTGAAAACATGAAAGATACCAACTCGCAAACAACTAAATACGTAAATTTCTCTCTTGGCTTGGCTATTTTTGTAAGGAATATATTAACATAGATGGGTGCTCTATATATTTAATGTAAATTTAATTTTTTAAATGTCTTAAATATTCTTTTCCAAAATTTTGCTGGGTTTTAGGAACTGGACTAGCTAATAATTTCTGTAGAAAACACTAGTATAGTAGTAATAATAAAAAATATTAGTAAAGTCAAAATTGTTGGGATAATTTCTTGTTTTTTTATTTAAATGCCAAAAAGTACCTTGAAGTTTTTAAATATAGAGCAGCCATTAATTTTTTCAGAAGTTTCCATATTTTGTAAAATGAATTCAGTGATGGAAATAGGGTAGAAAATAATTAGCATTTTTTAATGTAACATTTCTCTTTGCCTTGTGCAGGTAAAAGTCATTTGAGACCTACTTTACAACAGTAAATTACTTGCAACAAATTTACATTTTATGTAAATAAAAACTAGCAAGTTAAAATCAAACTGTTAAAACTCAAGATAAAACTTAAACAACTCAGATAAACTCTGCATAAAGACTGCCAGAAAAACATTTTTCAGACAAACTTAAAATAGAACTTTACGCATTTAGATAAAAAGTCTTCACTGACAAGAAATACTGATAATAAGTGCCTTCATACTACAATCTAAAACAAGTGAACTAAAACATTTAATAATGTTAAAAGCATTTCAATGATAAGATAAAAGGCACTACAAATTAACTCAAATTAACTGCAATCACACTACAACCAATATTAGATAAATCAAACATCTTTTTTTTAAGTAAAAGGGACTTTCTTTGTTAAAATCATGCTTGTGGTGTGAAAATCATTGTGACACTTTCCAAACTCTAAACTGTTGCAACTAGAATAATGAAATAAATAAATTCTGTACATATCATGCATGTAGATTAAGTCAATTTAATGCATTAGAGAAAGCATTCAATTCTGTAAGTTTTATATGGTTAAAATCAATTAGATGATTAACAAAATATTTTAAAGTCAAAGTCAAGCATGCTGATTGGGGTGTCAATTCCTTTTTTACCAACAGCTTATATACTGTGAATGTTTGATTATCTAGTCTTCTCTTACACACCAAATTAGCAGTTGATGGGAGAAAATTGTGTGGAGTTTAGTCTTTCTTCTTTGTATCTCCTTTTTCATCTTTGTTGGCACCACGGCCCAAGATCTTGGCAAGAGAATCCCAAATTCCACCAAAGAACAAAGCACAGAAGAGGTTCTCAAATGGCACAAAGGGATCGTGAATACCCAACAGCACAGATGACAGCTGAAAAAATTAAAAAGCATTAATATATTTTAAATACAAAGCTATAATTATAGTATATTTATCAAAAGTTAATATAATTAAACAAAATCTTTAAAAGTAAACTAATAATTTAAACTTGTAGATTTAGAACATTTAATATCACTCTTTTTTAAATGATACATACCTTAAAGTAGACAAAGAAGATGACAATTCCAAAGTAAACAAGTGCATGAGGTGCTGAAATGAGATCTGTCTTTTTGTCAAGAACAAAGATAACAGAAGCGACAATGCAGGCTTTTGTTGGGCTGCAAAAACAAATAAATTATGAGCAAATTCTACTGAATTTAACAGTAATTAATAACAGTTAATTAACAGTAATTAATGCATTGAATAACAATAATAAATTTTTAAAAAATACAATAGATATAACTATGATTGAACAAATTGGAACTTTTAACTCATTTAGTTTGTCTTGTGATACTGTTCACATGCTATTGAAGTATAAGTATAAGTAGTGCATAAAAATGTATCATGAAAATAAAATAATATCAATTTTTGACAATACTGAATAATATTGAACTTACAAAGATGGCTGCATGAATTCCATGGCTGTTGGGGTCCATACACCTCTGATCAGTCGTTCAAACAGTTTGAGGAAACCAGCTCCGTTTCCTTTAAGAAAAAAATATTGTATTAATAAATTTTATTTACATATTGTCATCACTCTTGTGCACCTACCTGCTTAAATTGTAAACAATGAAGTCATTACATACCTTTCAGAGTTCCAATTAGAATCATAATGACATATGCATTAGGATACAGTTTTGCAGCATGAGAAACACCATCATAGACCTTCTTACACCTACAAAATTGGATATAATTTATGCAAACATTCAACTTCATAAACCATTCTGATTTCTCCAAAGTCAGTGTTCTTACCTGTAAACTTCTTTCATGGCAGAGCAAACAAGTTTTACGGGCAGAAATTTAGCAGCTTTGTATCCAATGTCAAAAGGAGTGTAGAAAACCACGTACCTGTATGACAGAATGAAAGCCGAGTAAGAAATTTTCTAAAAATAACAATAACTTTCAAGTTCATAGAAACATGTATAAAGAGTTCTGAAACACTCTTAAGTAAAATAAATAAGGGGGAAATCTTCCCTTATATGTGAAGAACAAAATCTGAGTTAGTTCCTACGGATTTACAAACTTACCACACTATGGTAGCTACAACAAGTTGTGGTGTGTTTTTCAAAGGAGCTAAAGGGGGTTCTCCCAGGAGGGCATTACACAACATGCCTCCAGCAAACACCACAAGCATTGTTGAGAGCCAGCAAGACAAGGGGTGCTTCCGGGAGAAAGCTTGTGCTCCTAGAAAATGAAAGCCGAGTGCAACAATGAATCTTTTCTATGAATACATGCAAAGCTTTATATCTACAGGGAAATACAATCTAGATTTTTCTGCCTTACACAAACTATAATATGCTTCTTTTACTGAATGTGAATGCTTCTTTCATGATTTTATTGGAAAGATAGGTTTATTTTGATAATTTCCATGTCTAGGGAAATAGAAAAAACTTAGGGACAATTTTACAAAAGTATTAATGATTTAAGTGTTTACAATGTTCCAAATACTTTTAGCTACATATGTGTTTATACCATCATTTTTCATTAGTGGTAGTAGCCAACTGGGACACAAGGGCTGTGAATATGTTCAAGGGAACCCCCTCATTAAAAAGTGCCCCTCAGCCCTCCAGAAGACAATGCTCTTTAAAGAATATAGGTTTTACTAATTTTCTAAATTAACAAAAGTCATTTAATGTATCAATTGCTTATATTATACACATTAACTACAAGTTAACAAATAGAAATATATTTTTTATTCAACGCAAAAGAAAAATTCTTTACAAGAAAACATCCAGTTGACTGGACCTCCCTACAAAGAAAAATCCTGGGTGCACCTCTAATGGTCGCCATTACTAAGTAAAGCCATGCTTCTAGGGGATGCTGTGATGGATGCTATGGCATGAGACCTTACTACCACTACTTTTCAAACTTTAAATACTCTAATTTACTGTCATGCCAATTGTTAAGAATGTCTTCAAAACCTTTGATTCGAAATTTAATCTTGAACTTGAATGTTTTCAAAATTACTTAGAACTGCTAGTTCTCGCACTTCTCACAATGTGTTAAACTTTGCTTCAATACTTTGCATTAATTTATTGATGATTTTTTTTTAATGTCAAATAATTACTTTATAAAAAAGTATAATTAATTACTTATATTCTGTTTTATAAAAGTGATTTGATGATAATTCTGTTCTGAAGAGCCAAATCCATAAAAAGTTATGTAACTTAAAAGAAAAATTAGATTTGTTAGAACATTAGCCATGCAAAATATACATAAAATAATGTATGGGTAAAAAGTCATTGTTGTGAACTTTTATGTATTAATATGTAATTTAAATGACATTTTCTGGGATATCAGGGAAATTCTAAGAAAACCAGCAAATTCTTTTCCAGTTGTATCTCATTGCCTCAATCTAAGGTTAGATCCAGCCAATCATTTTGAAGGGGGCCACCAAAGATTTTTGTTAAATAATAAACATTTGTTATCATATTGTATATTATTTTTCTAGTGTATATATGATACTATATTTTTTAAATAATTACATAATTTTAACATGAATAAAAATTGTAATCAATTTCGCCAAATAAAAGACGATAAGAAACGATAACTTAGTCTTTTGAGGGTGAGGACATCCCCCTCCCGTATCCGACACTGTCTCAATCAACACCGTTTTTCTTACAATACAGAAGTTTAAGGGAAGCTCGTTTCGCCTCATATTGCCCCTATTGGTGAGGAGAAATTTGAACCTCGTGGTCCTGATGGCGGCAGATCAGGGGAAGAGAGATGGGATGGGGTGGGGGTGGGGTAGGATTTGCGTTCGCAAGCCGTGCGCCTTGCCGGATGCGCGATTCCTGCAGTGTTACGAGGGTGCTCTGCGGGTTGCGGATTTCGGCTCACCGTAGAGCAAGGTCGAAGCGGTACTTTTGAATTGTCATTGGCTTTGGACATCGACGAGAGCGCGCCTGCGGGCGGTGTGATGTCATCTGCGTTGTCTCGTGTTTTTCTGTGCTTGGATGGTAAAAGAGAGAAATTTGGGTTGAATCATAAGGAAGGTAAAATTAGTTCTTTATTGTAAATTACGTGTTTGTAATGTAAATTCGACACGGGATTTTTCCACTTTTTCACAGAAAACCGATTTCATTCCGAATGCAAAACCTATGACTATTTTTACTTTAAAAATAACTTCATTGCCTGATTGGATAGACAATATGTATTGAAAATTAAAGAATTTCCCTTTCTTTAATTCTGAAACCTGCAGCGACTTTGTTTTCTTGGAATCGCTCAAGAAAAGTGATTGCAAATAGCAAAGAGTGTGTTGTCTGATAAAAGTATCGCCTCTCGAGCTGAATCAACACGTTTACGTAACACCTTTGGTGGCCGTCCCAAAGTAGAATACTTTTTTCAACAGACTCTGGGTGGCAATCGCTACGGCACTTTCTCCATTAGAACAGTGCGCTAGGCATTGCTTTTTGTTTTCAAAACTTATTGCTTATAAATGTGTAATAATTCGTTTCAGAATAAAAAAAAATGTCACAACTACACTCAGTAGAATATATTAAAGTACTTAAAATGTGTCTCTTCAGAAATAACGTTTCTCAAGAATTATCATATTCGTAGCTGCTCAAGTTACGGTAAAAATGGATGAACGGCATAAAAATAGACATGTATCGCGGAGAATCTTTATTTGGCGTTTAGCACGTACAGAACGAATTATACGAGAGCGCCGAAGCTATTAAGGCAAGCTTTCGCTAGTCTGCCAGTCGCCCCAACAGTCGAGGCTGGTCGCCCGGGGGAAAGGATCAAAAATATCCCGAGACCTCACTGTGTCCCGCCAGCCCAAGCGGTCCCAGAAATAAAGGCCTACTGAAGGGCGACATCGCGCAGGAATGCACGAGGAAGCCACACAATCACCAGGAGCCGAGACCCGTCCCCGCCACACTTTCACGAAGAGACATCGCTGTCAGATCCGTTCTCACTTACTGCTAACGTTTGTCAATACCTTTGATCGATAGTCTACATGTTTAATAAGAGACGAGCGCTTTGAAATGTACGAAAAGACCGCTCGTAACAGTACTTTCTGTAATCAATAAAATCGCTTGCGCGTACAGGTAAAAGCAACGTGGCCCTGCTGCACTCGACTAAAATTACTCAAAAGCGACGCAAATGACACCGAGCAACCGTGACGAAGTGAATGGTAAAGAAAAGAAAATGTCCAAAGACCTTAGAAATATTTGTGCTTGAATGATTCTACTGCTACGGATGAATTCACAAAAGAGAAACCGGCCACGCTACCCCTCCTAAGATGTGTCTTCAAAACAATACTAAAATAACAGTAAGATGCAATATATGCTCAAATAACACTTATTACGTGATAACAATACTCTAAGCTGCATGACAGAAGAAGCCCTTTCTTACCAGGCCCTAGGTCTTCGCGCACATGGAGAGCGCAAAGAAGGCTGTGCGCGATGTCAAAATATGGAAACATCTTCAGCTTGACCACCTGGTTGGCCAGGTCGAGGAATGCTTCGGGATCCATGGCGTTGTATGTTGCGGTTTCCCCCTAAAACCGCCAAAATTCGGAGTTCCTCCCGGAGCACACCCAACCTGTCTTCACTGTAGCTGGGCTCTGCCGCAGCAAAGTCTTGGCGCTTGCGCCTATAAACACTAGGAGCGCTACTGCATGGAGTGGGAGTTTGCTCAACGAAAATCACGGCTCCCAATTCAGTCCACTTAACCCTGTCGGTACCAACACTAGTGCTTGACTGGGACGGTGGGGAGGGACTTAGCCAAAGCAGTGCAGTACAGAAATGTGACTGAAAAATATGAGTTAAATATCGTTTATACTTTCTTCAAAAGGCCTGTTATTGAATTTATTCAAACAAATTGTACCAAGAAGAATTAAGAAACATTTTTGCATGAAGTAGTTCATAAGTATTAATTTCAATGCTACAGAACGTAATGAAATAATATCACACAACCAAAGTAAAAACTTCCTTCTTACAAAAAGAATACGTAAACGCAATCGATAAAGTGCCAACAAAATAATCGATATTCGTATTCGATTTGTTTGTGACTACACCGGTTGCCACTTACGACTTGTACCTTAAAACTTGCGAGCAAAATAAATGGTCATTTTTGTATGTTATTCGGGGAGTAATTCCTTTTGGAAAAATATAATACAGTTAAAAAGAGATTTTTCAATGGATATAAGTTCAGAACATTAAATCTGTATGGTGTTTTCTTTTTCTTTCTTGTCCCGTTGGCTTGCGATGTACGATAAACGCTATTGTAAGGTAAGTTTGCAAAGTATTTTTTAAAAATATAAATACAAATAAACTGTTATTCTTTAATAGGTGACAGTTTGAAATTTTTGTTGCGAGTCCTAGTAGACAACTGTCACTTGATTAAAGTGTTGAACACACACAATTTTAGTTTTTATATGTAAGTGTACTGTTCCCTTCAATTTTCTCTCAAAATCTATTGTATTTACCTTTCATCAAAATATCCCCCAAAGAAATAGTCTATCTCTATGTTCTCAAGTTTATTCACAGCTTGAATTCTGAGACATCATTTTTTTTTCTTACAGGATGCCAAGAGAATTCGACAAAGAATCAAACTAAGTGAACCAGGCGGTGTCAGTGAACTGCCTGGCTATACTAGACCTGAAAGATATCTGTCACCAACCCATCCTATACATTTAATATGTGTATTAGCTGGTCTTACTCTAATTGGAGTGGGGTTGATATCTCAAAATAATAATTTACCCACACCACTTATGTTGAAAGATGCACCAACGAATCCTGGTCAATTTATTGCTGAAAGAGCAATGGATTATCTCATTGAACTTACTAAACTTGGTCCACGCTCAGCTGGAAGTTATGAAAATGAAGTGCTTGCTGTCGATTTATTTAAAAAGAAAATTGCAGCTATTACATACAGTGCTAAAAAAATACATAAAATATCATTGGACATTCAAAAACCAAGTGGAGCTTTTCCTCTTCATTTTTTGGATGGCATGACAAATGTATACAGAAATGTTCATAATATTGTTGTAAAAATTGGACCTCATGATGATCCAGGTCACAGTGTTCTAATGAACTGCCATTTTGACAGTGTTCCAGATAGTCCTGGTAAGTTTAAGTTGTTGTTTATAATATGAGGAGTTTAGTTGGTTAATTGGCAAATTTATTTTCAAATTTCAAACTGATTTCTAGGAGGAAGCGATGATGGAGCTAGTTGTGCAATAATGTTGGAGATTTTTCAGATAATATCTGAAAGTGATTCATCTCTTAATAACAACATTATATTCTTATTTAATGGAGCAGAAGAAAATTTCCTACAGGTAAGACATAAATGTAGATGTGTGCAATAAGTGATAATAAAAGAAGCATATTGTCATGTGCTTATGAGAATGTGTGCTAATATTCAGGCATTGTACTACCAGTATTTCCTGTTAGCTGTATTGATTTTCACACTCGAGATAGAATATTTGCAATACAAATAAAAAAAAGTTTGATACATTATGTTAATGAAGATCATTATTTATTTTTTTGTTACTTTAAATTTTTGATATAAATTTGTTTCTACAGTAAATGAAAAGGAATTATAGTGGAAATATATGGTCAGAATTATGGAAATCATTTCACATACAATTTTTATATTTATATTTTTCATATTTTTATCAGTCATATTTTCCATTTCTGATACTGATATAAATTGTCTAATTGAAATTTTAAAAAAAATAATGTTTTAACTACAAAGAAAAACTTTTCCTCAGTAAATGAGAGAAAAGTAGAGAAATATATAAAAGGTAAATGTGTCTCTGAATTAATGATATATAATTAAAAATGTCAATACAAGTTACAACATTCTTAAATGCATTTATTCGTACATCAATATTATATTGTTTTTTGATATGTTAAGTTTTTCTTAGATGTAATGTTATTTTTTACTTACAACTATTTCCACATTTGCGTCTTGATAAGGCATGATTTTTTTGAGCCTAATATGTGAACAATTTCTGCTTATGACCAATGTTGAATTAGGCTGTTTGAATGGTAATCGAAACAATCTCGTCAAATATTTTCCAGATTTCATGAATTGATTACCAAGCACATGATTCAAAATACTTAAAAATATTTATTAAAGAAAATTTGCCAATCACATGCAAGTCTCCTCAGTCAATGTTGTATGTAAGAACTGGTGTCTTTTCAAATTGTGTTCTTGTTATTTAAGTCATTGTTAATATTTCACTAATATAATTTTGATAGGATTTGTGCGTATTATTTTCATAAAATTTAACAGGTTGCAACTTATTGTGGGTTTTCAGTCAGGGAGGGGATGGGGAGGGGATGACACCCTCTGGGTATTTTTAGGTTTGATTGAGGAATATTATTTTTTGAATTTAGATAGTTAAATACTAGCTTTCCCCATTAATGTAAAGTCAAACTAAAATTCATTCAGTACTGCTAAATGTACTTATTTATTTGTACATACAGCAGCAGAAAACTGATACAACTGCAGTTGACATATTTAACAAAGTGTGAATTAATTTACAATGAAGTAAATTGTATATTGTGTATTGAAAGATCTTTTCAAGCCCATATAATCATCCTTATATCCTCGTAGATGTAGTGCCCATCTGGGTAGCCGAGATCGCTAAGGCAACAGTGTCTTGGTGATTGAATGATCGCAGGTTCGAATCCCGCCTTGGGCATCAATATATTTGTGATCATCCTTTCACCTCTCATCATCATCCTATCACTTTATTTAATTAATTCCCTGCTCAAACAGGAGGCCCTTGCATAATGTTAATGGGATGTGAAGTTGGCTAAAAAAAAAAAGATGTAGTAACCAATTTATCTACGTCTGTTCATCCATGTAGATCATCACTCAGTGTTAGACCGCCTCCTATTCACTAGCTGAGACAAATGAGGGGTCATTTGATGAGTTTCAAGTCTCTTGATGAGTAACAATATCTTTTTTCCCCCTCACATCTGTCCAAAAACTTTTAACGAGTTTATCTAAAAAAATGTTTTTTAAAAGCAATGAAACCCTGTTTTGTGTGACTTACAACACCTACAGAGTACTCATTCAATTTCTCTCAACAAGACAAATTTATTGGCATAATTTTAAAACCAGTTCCTTCCAGGATATTCTAGAAGAATTTTAGAAACCCTTGTGTTTTTGATGATTTTAATGGATGTAAGAGTACATTGGTAAAATGCCATGAATTACTTGACTCTTTCTGGTATTTGCTGGAATTATTATGAATCGATTGATGTTTATTAAACTAAGCTTTGTAGTGAAACAGAAAATTAAATAAGTATTTTAATTTATATTTTTTCGTGTAATTTTGTATGTCCAAAAATGAATGAGCCATGCAAATATAATATCTTTAAAATTTTGTTATATTATGAACTTGCAAAGCTCAACTAAAAATTTTTATCATGAAAACACTTGCTGGGGGTGCCACATTAAGTTAGTTATTAGAACATAAATTTTCGTTAATATTATTATGTTTGGATAATAAAGAAAGAAACTTGTAATGTCAAACAAAGTTATATAACAAGTTTATATTTTACTGTAAGTTAATTTGGTTCTTTTGTTGTCTTAGAATATGTTTGTTGGGATGAAATTGGAGTTGTCAATACTACTAGGAAATAAAGTTAGTATTTTATTGTCAGTTTATATTATTTTTTAGTTAAGTCATTTTTTATACTTTGTATGCATTTGTTGCCATTAAATTTGAATTTCCCAAGAACAGTATAAAATTTTCAAAGACTAGCATAAAATCATAGGTTTTGTTATTTTATGTGAAATTAAAAAGAAGTAATTCAAGGGGTTTTGTTACCTTTTTTTCATTTTTCTCTTTTTTCCCCCCGGGTTGGGGAAAATTCAGCCAGCCCTAGGTTCAATACACTGCTTTAATTATGTTGCAGGCTTCTCATGGTTTCATTACTCAACACCCTTGGGCTCAAGAAGTTAGGACTTTTGTCAACATGGAGGCATGTGGGGCTGGGGGTAAAGAAATACTATTCCAAGCAGGACCAAATCATCCCTGGATAATGGAGGTAAACATCACTTAAGATTGTTTCTGATATTTTTCTCTTTTATTCTTTTATCGTCATTAACTTCTTCACTTATATTTCTTTAGCTTTTGTCTTTATTTTCAATGTATTTTCAGAGGTACTCAGAAGTTGTGCCATACCCTTATGCATCTTCTCTTGCCCAAGAAATATTTCAAAGTGGTGTTATTCCAGGAGATACTGATTTTAGAATTTTCAGGGATTTTGGAAATATATCAGGTTGGTGACTTTCTAAACAATGTGTAGAATTTGTATCAATCTATGAAGTCTCATTTACAAAATTTGTTTTTTTTTATTACTTTATGTACCATGTATTTTATTTGTTTATTTTATATAATATTTTATATTCATATATTGCCATCATCATCAATGTCATAAAATATCTTATGAGAAATATTTTTAAAATGACAGATTACTATAAATACAAGCGAGGTTTGGAATAATAGCATTAATAGATAATATATCTATTAGATATATAGATTTATAACCTTGATCAACTACCTGTGGAAATGTACTTAATGAAAGTGTTAACTGTAGAATATCCACTGCAAAATATGATGCACTAACATGTTCATTATTTATGCACCTTTCTTCTCGTATGAAAAATAATTTTGTCTAAATTTAAATAAACATTGTACTTGTTTAGGAACAGTCTTTTATTCATAATAAGGACACATCATTAAGTCAGATACTTAAAATTTGCAGTGAACTTAAAGAAAAGATCATGATCATTTTAACGCAATGCGAGTCATGAATGCTCATCTGCCAAATCATGTGCTGTCTTCCTGTGATGATAAACTCAACTCAAAGGGCTGATAAATCTGATTTACCAAAATTTACAAGAGTTACCTGGAATAGCAGTGAATAATTCTTTGATCATGAACACATTCATGCAGACAAAAGCCCTACATTAAAAAATCAACTCTAAAACTTATGTGGAAGAGAACATCTTTTTATTTATGAAAAATGCCTATCATTAATGATCATTAGTTGCCCAGTGTTTCAGATAATACTGTTTATATTTTGCTTGATAGTCCTTAAAATGACTAACAAAGAATCTGCTTGTTGAAGGTTTCAGTAATTTCAATGTATTTGTTTTTAACATTAGCATTATTATTTTTTTTTCACCTTTCTGTCTTGCTTTTCTCTCACACCTTAAAAGACTTTCTAATTGTGCATAATGTGAAACGGAGATTAAGAACTTTTTTACATTTTAAGGTATTGTATTAAATATTTGTGAAAATTAATTTGTTTGTTTAGGTCTGGATTTTGCATGGGCAACTAATGGATATGTGTACCATACACGATTTGATAATGTGGATCAGATTCCTCTTGGCACCTTACAACGCACTGGTTCTAATATATTGGCCTTGGTTTTGGGACTGACAAATGGGAAGGAACTGTCCAATGTTAGTCTGTATAAATCAGGAAACATAGTGTTTTTTGACTTTCTGGGAGTATTTATGATAAAGTGGTCAGAAAATGCTAATGTTGTTTTTAATGTATCTGCAGCCATATTGTCTGTATTTTCAATGTTACGAAGTATGCAATCTGCAGCATTGCGTGGTAAGAAAATGTTTTTCACATTCTCGTAAAATTGGATTAATTTGTTCACTATTGAAAGGCTAATGAACTTTTTTGAATTGTAGATGTGAAGTATGGCACATATCTGAAGCAGTTTGGGTTGTCGTGTTTGGTTGTTGTGATTTCATGGATTGTTACAATTTTGTCATGTGCAGTGATAGCTGCAGTGCTTACAACTTTAGGTCGCACAATGAGTTGGTTTGCACGGCCTACATGGATATTTTTTCTCTACATTTGTCCCACATTGTTTGTACCAATGAGTGTGGTTCTGTTTGTTTCACGATGGCAGAGAAAGGTAAGGGTAAAATTTGTATATTGTTCTGTTTTTTTTCCTTTTATGATATTGTTTTGTTACAAAAGATTTTGCTATTCATATTCTTTGCAGGCATTGTCACATTCCCCTTGGATTTTGTTCCAAATCTATTACGATTCTTATTTGTTCATGTGGACTTTCCTCTTGATTGTATGCACAGTTTTTTCAATAAGAAGTGGTTTTATTGCTTTATTCTGGACTTTCTTCCCATGTGTGGGGAGCCTTGTGCAAAGTCATGTGTACAAGCACTGGAGAGGTAAGATTAAGTCCTTTACAGAGTATCCGATTGATATTTCATTTTAATGTTCAGCTGTTTTATGAATAACAGTATTTGCTATCTTCTCAACTTCTCTAACATAAGTATATTTTAATTAATTTAGTTGTATTTCTCATTATTTTAATTGACTAAATTTACTTTTAATTAACAGTCTACTTGTATATTTCTAGATAGATAATGGGATGTTGGATGAATGATAAGTTGTCCCATTATCTGTGTAAAAATGTGGTCAACATACGGTTGTGATTTTCAATATATTTTTATGTTTAATTTCTGCTTCACATTCGGAGTGTCAGTGTAGAGAGATTATTACTGTATCTTATTTTAACTTGCAACTCTTGGCTGGGAACATCTCTTCTGGTTTTGGCAATTTGGCAACGCATGAAATACCTTCAGCATCCCCGTCACATTTAGTGACCCCCTGGCCACGTGCCCTCAGATTTCAGGCTGAGGGAATAATACTTTTAATTGGATGAAAGAGAATCTTTACGACTCTTCAATGTGTTGCAGCCACTACACTAAGAAGAGTAAACACCACTCTATTGGCAAATGGTTGCCACTGAACATTTACTCTAAAAGTTCATTGTCATTTTAAGGGAAAAATATTTTATTATTTTCAATAATTATTAATTTACTAGGTATTTATAATTTAATTATATGTTTATTAATTTTATTAAACTTTTCTTATTTAAGTTGCAGATTTCATATTAATATTATTATAAATAATGAGGAGATTGGTAGTAATGTTTCATGATATATTGTTCTGATTTCTCTGTGAGCCGGCTTTCATTCAGTAATAATTATTGTTACATTACTGTTAATAAATCAATTAATTTTTTGTAACTTCCTTCCACATCTTCAGTTTTACAGCTTTATTTCTTAAGCGTATTGAACAGAATCGCCTGAAGAGATGTTTTGTTTTCCCGCTCATGTCTATGCCCACCCAACTTCATCCCACCTCACACAGCGCGAAAAGATTCTGGCATGTGAGCTGCGTAACTGCCCGCCTAAACTCTTGAATGACAAGAAAGTTACTGCTGCTTATGACCTGATGCTCACCTCCTTCTCTCCCAGCAACAGCCAGCCACGGCTGTCTTGAATGGAAGCAAGGACATGCGGTTGCCAAATTGCCAAAACAAGAACAGGTGCTCCCAGGGTGCGTTTAAATAATGACCCAGCATAAGAAGGGACCGCCGTTGGCAGCTATTGCCTGGCAACTGCTGGCAACATAACTTCAGGTTAGGTCCATGCAGTTGTCAGTGTTTGTTTACAGTTAGTTCATTTGTAAATGACTTCATCACCCTGCAGGTTGTTCATTTGTTTCCCGACCTGTCTAAGGATGAGATGTAGAGTAACACCCCTGCATCACTGGGTCTGGGTCTTTGTCTATGTAACCTTTCAACACAAAATGCCATCTTCACGTGGCACTTGTTTCCACCTCTATTCACAGGGAGACATATTTAGACATCGAATATATTCCTTTGGAGATATACCTTATAAGATGGGATGAGAAGTTGCCATTAAGGTGCACTAAGCCACAAATCCACTGACTTCAGTAAAGTTGGAATGTTCACATGCCCAACCTAGACTTTGTGTTGAAGAACTAAAATACATAGCTTTTGAAACACCGCTTTGATGATTATTTTTATTCTATTAAATCATCTATTCATATTTTCTATTTATGATTTTAACTACTACGTTCTGTGAAAATAATGAACATGCAATGTCTTAATGTTATTTCAATCTTTGTTCTCAATTTTGTGTTTTAGATGGAAAATGGATTCTGTATCATTGTGGTGCTCTTTTATTACCTGCGTGTCAAAGTCTGTACTTGATGTTAGGGGCCATGAATTTATATATTCCTATAATGGGTCGCACAGGAAGTGGAAATCATGCTGAAATAGTGTTAGCATTCCTCACTTCCATAATATTTGTTTTTTTCTTTAGTTTCTTTGTAAGTATGTTTTGTAATAATGTATGCAAAATTATAGTTCTAAATGCAATAATAATTACTCAATTATTTTTTGACAGATACCTATTATAATACTTGTTAAACAACCGCGAAAAATATTGAGTCTACTGGGGACTATGTTTTTGATTGCTGTTGGCTTGTTGATATTCACACCCCTAGGATTCCCATATTCTGGGGATCCTAAGTCTCCTGCACCTCAGCGATTTATGATAGCGGTGAGTAAGATGCACGAAACCACAGTTATTTATGACTTCAAATGATAACAATTGTGTTACTTTGGGATTAGAGAAAATTCAATTGTTCAATTTATTAGTATACATTGGAGAGGGAAAAACTCAATATATAATAGCAGTATGATATTTTTGACGTCGTATATTTCAATCACCCTCGATTTCACTAGGGAAGATTTTGACAGAATTTCTATCTACTTAGTGATCCAGCATGTCATCCCTGTAGACATTTAAATTCCAGTTCATATGCTCTGGCCCAAAATTCAGTTGTAATGATTTGAGAAGGAAAGAGGTCTCTTTCCTATTTCCTTCATGCTAGGTGGTCAAAATGTGGTGCTGCATTGTACTTTTCAACTTCCGTGAGTCCATGAGATACCCACTTCAATGGAATTTTACACAGGTCCAGATCTTTCTGCAAAATTGTACAAATGGTGCATTTCTTGATGCCATTTTTTTAAAACTAATTAATGTTGATCATGCCTTCCTTCCATGTGATTTCTGCTTGAGTCCGCTCGTGTACAGGCAGGGTGGACTAAATTTCCCTAGCTCCAAAACAGCGCGGCTCAAATAATAATCAATAATAATATCAAAATATTCTATTAAAGTCTGCAGCTCACAACAGACTCAAACAAATGGGTAAGGAAAACAACACAAGTACACAGGAAAGGAAACTGACCATAAAATGCAAACTGTGTTTGCTAATTTTGCCTACTTCAATTCACAATAAATGAAATAATCATATAGTAAATCAAATGTAGACTTGTTTGGCAACTTTGCTACATGTTATGCATTTGTTTCTTTATCGAAACGTAATAACATTAGAGAACTAGAGGTGCATGGCATTAGAGAACTAGACAGCTTGGCATAGACTTTCTCGTATTAGTTTCTTATTGTCTTTGATGTTTAAAAGGTTACCAAGACGTCTCGTGGTACACACCATTCTTCTAGGCTAAGCTGAAGAGTACTCTGAACATTGCTTTATCAGATCTGTATCTTTATATATTTGTCCACGGCATTTCTTGTCCCAACTCGGTGCTTGTACCACTATTCTGGATGTAGGATCTAGTGCCTTCATTAAACATACAGAAAAACAGTTGCCTATCTGGCCAAGCAAGCAAACTATAGCAACAATGCAAAGTTACTTTACCATCAACATCTTTCAACATCGCACTCGGTAGCGAACTTTTTTTGCGAAATTAACTAACTCTACTGTAACCACAGCCACTGTGTGGCTGCTCCGACTCACCTGATTACCTGGTTAGGGCGACCCAACGTTGCACCGACTGCTCAGTCCGAAGGCTCTTCAAAGGGAGGCATGCGTGATCGGGTTTATTTTCGTTCAAATACCGCATTGAAACATGACATTTTCAATGGAGGGTTTAATGTTCCCTTTGCGTGAGGTGAAGACTCCCGTTATAATTAATCCTTAAACTGTCTTATAACTAACTTATCTTATTCGGCCGTACGGGCCAGAGTTGATCGTTTGAAGCAGGGCGGCATCCTTCCCGGCGGTCACTTTAGGGGAGTGGCGGCCCTTTGCCCTGGTGCTTGGCGCGGTGCGGTCGGTGGCGGCGCGACCGGGCGACGGCTGCGGCGGCAGGCGGCGTCAACGGGCGCCGGCAACGCTGGTCCGGGCATCGGCGGCGCGGTTCGCGGTTGCGGTGGTTGCACCTCGGCCCGTCATCAGTCCTGGGCTCGCGGTCGGACACAGTCATGGCCCGAGGCGGACCGCGATGTGGCGATGATGCATTCGCGCGGCGGCGATGCGGTAACGCATTCACTGGCGTCCCCTCGTCGCCACCTCGGAAAGGCACTTCTACTCGCTGTCGTCTCATCTGTCGGAATGACCGAGCTTGTGTATTGCCGCTACCCCCTCAACTTCGCGGGTCACGTGGCCCTTCCCCGGCTTCGTCTTCCGCGATTGGCGGGCGCGCATCACGCTGTTTCTTCCGCCCAATCGCGGCGTCATTAATGACCGTTTGAGTCCCGCCAAATTCCGTTGGAACTCAAACGCCACTTCAGTTCCAAGAACAGGTGTAGCTGAATTGCCGGGTTGTGAGACGGCGGCGTCCGTATTTCCCGGTGAGTCAGCGGATGCGGCCGGGCGACGGCTGTGCCGAGACAATAGAACTGCATGCTTCCGCGTCCCCGACGCTCCCTACATCCTTGCAGGTAGAAAAAATGCACATTTCCTGGCCTTTTTACAGCAACGTTATATTAAATAAAATATTGAAATACGCGCCACAACCAGACGCGTGCGACTATCCCATTACACTACAGAAAATGTACAACGTAATATTTTCTGCAAATATAAATTATCGCATTTACTTTCATGCAATATTTATGTTCAGAAAATTATGTTTAATCAAAAAAAGTACATTTTTTTCATTTTCACAGTTGTTTTGCTCCCATAATAATAGAATGGAAACATTGCTTTAAGAAAATAATAGAAGATTAAAACCTGGTTCTGTATTTAAGTATTCGTTAAAACATTTGGAGCTGTTTTCTGGGAAAATGTTTTTCAACGTTTCTGAAAAGGCATACTTTTGAGGACATTGCCACAATACTTATGAGTTTACAAGAATGATCATGATCAAACATTTGAACCATTTAAAGTATATTGAAAACCTTTAATATAAATATTAACAACATGAGAGATATTAAAAAACAATAGTGTAGTTTTTGAAAAATCAAAAGAATATATACAAATGTCGGTAATATTATTATTGAGTGTAATCTGCACTATTATGAGTACAAAAAGTTTAAAGAAAAATCTTCAGCCATTTTTCAGAAAATTGTTTTTTTTTACTTATAGTAAATTACTTCCTCTAACACATCATGCAATCATAATTGATGTTTTATGGGCCCTTCATACCCGAAGAATTGATTGACAGCAAAACGTCTCTGTCTGTCATCAATAGCTAATACTTTCGCCCTAACCGTCCAGCTGATTTTCTCCCAAATTGTTATTCCTCGATCGACTGAAAGGAACTTGAGGCCCTGTGAGTTTTAAACGTGTATTTACATTTTGAGGGTACTTTACATTTCCAAAATTTTCTCAAAAAATAGCTTCAAATGTTTGAATTAAACATTGTCTTCGAATAATGTAAAAGACGCTTAATAGAACGACACAGGACTCAAGTTTCGTTAAAATCTATACTTTTTCGAAAATTACACATGTTCAAAAATTGTTGGCGTTTTTCTGTAACAATATTGAAGATATAGATTTTTTTTCATGAATGAAATCTGGACTCTTAAAACATGAGGTACAATTTTCGAAAAGATGGGTATTTTTCGTGTAATTTTGCGTTTGAATAAAGGCAATATTTAAACAATTTATTTTCTCAAAACCCCCATTTTTTTCTTTATCCTCCTATTAATCAAAGAACGTCAAAAACAGTGGCAGTAGTCCCATTTCTGGCCCACTGAATTTTGAAAATTGCAGAAAGGTATCATTCCAATGCTACAATTTTGATGATAGAGATTTCTGTCTTACGTAGTCAGTTCCAAAAAAGCATATCTTTACAAAATGTCATGTACAAATTTTTTAAAAAAACAAATAGTTTTCACACGATGGTATGCAAATTATATTTTGGAAAAAACCTTTTCCCAACAAACTTCAATATTTTTGTGGATAGGAGAAAAAAATCTTAAAATAATGGTGCAAGTCTGAATTTTCTTTAAACTCTCTAAATTTTTGTAAATTGCAATTTAGAAATAATGCAAGAAAAAACGTGCTGTTGGAGCACCACTAGCTTATCATAGCCAAGTTTATGAAATAATTGCATCTTAAAAAGTTAGTTCTTTTCACCATTCATAATATTTTAGAAAATTACTGATCTAGTGGAAAATGTATTTCAAAAAAATCAAGTTTCATATTGTGTTCACTTCCTTAATGTTTATCTTCAAATTAATTAATAAAGGCAAGCAAGTTAGTTGAATATTCATTAACACAATAGAGTGAGTGTGTAATTGCTGATGCAAGTGTATGTAAATCACATGTTGTATAATATGTTATCTGATCGACGTTTTACCGATTTTCTAACAATGGCTGTATTATTAAAAAAATCTGTTTCTCTTTGGACTACGTGTACAAATTGAAAAAAGAAGAAAAAAACTGGTGAAAAAACTTGCCTCCTCACCATTTCAAGTTTTAAATATAGAATGTACTACTATTGTTAAATTTGATGTAGTTGCAAACATAATTGATATGTATTGTTCCAATATTTTTATTATTATTAATGTAATTATTATTATTAATGTAATTATTATTATTATTAATGGCAGTACCAGCACTAGGCATATGTGACTGATGGGGGAAAAATTAATTACAAAATTGGAAAAGAAATTAGAACTCGAGAAAACCATTATCATAATTTTATAAGATGTGGTACGGTAGTCTGATATTTTATAAAAGTTTCAATTAAACTTTTACCTTAAATACATAATTACAGCCATTACTTATACTGTAAGATGAAATTAATCCAATGATGCTATCATTAAAATAGGTTCTACTCAGTAATTCTGTGATGAACATTTGTTGCATCGCGTAAATATTATTTGAAGCCAGTACCATTAAAATTATTTTAAAATCGATGAAATTAGCAAAAAATGCAATTTCATAAAAAGGTTAAAAATGACTTATTAGTCAAACTCGATGAAAAATGCAAAACAATGATGAAACAGGTTATTTTCTTTTGTCATAACATATAATTAATTTCTATTTTAAAGTGAAAAGGAAAAAAATTACATTTTCTTTACATATTTTTGTACTATTTCGATGTTTCATACTTCATGTTTTTCCGTTCTCTACTGATCACTAAATACTTGTGCTTAAAACTATTGTTTAAAATATATTTCAAAACACTTTTTTCAGCTTAAACATTGTCATTTTTGTTATTTGTTGAAATAAATCAAATAAGTCATAGTTTCTTGATACAACTTTCACATTTTTAATTTAGGTGGGGTGGAGGTGCTACGATTCAGCATTACCCCCAGCCCAAAATTTTCTAGCTCCAGGACTGATTAATGGTATTATTTTGGCTCTACCCCTTATTGCATTAAAAATAGTAATGAGCCATATTGTCTTCTCAGAACACATAATAGACCTTTTTTTGTAATAAATAAGATTCACCCTATGGAGAGAGTACCCCTCCAAAAGATCACTTTTTCACGGAAGTAACAGTGCTCGCTCAATACATGTTTTTGTACAATCATCCATTGTGTGTGAAATATATGAAGTTGGGTATCAAGTTACGTAACTGTCAGATACATTAAAAGTGCTAAGTTTTTGGTTAATTTTCTAGGAAAAAGCAGCACCTAATTTGTGTGGATATATTTCAGCACACCCAAAGAGTTTTCCATGATGAATTTGGAAGAGAAAGGAATAGACAGTCTGGTTTCTGGCTTGTTGACATGGATCTGAATAGTCCTTTCAGTGTAGAGTCTCTAGTTCCTGAAATAAAAAAAGCACAATTAACTTTGGAAGACTGTCGAAACGAATTGTACTGTGGTTTGCCGTACCTTATTCCAGTGTCTACTTTTATTTGGTACGAATGTTTGACCTAACAGAAAAGCATGCTCTATTGGTAATGAACAGGAATGAATCAGAACTAATGATTGTGTGTGAACTTTTAATTGTAGGAGGACGCATTGGTTGCCAGCACCGCCTCCTCACATTGGGACACCTACGACTCTGGAATTGGTCTCTGTTGAGAAACGTGCCAATTCTATTAAAAGAATGTCATTTAATGTCACGGGTAAGTTTTTTTTTTTGTCAACACTCTTCTGGAAATTGATGGATCATCTGAAATTATAACAATGCAGATGTGTCTCATTTGTAAGCTTTTAGGTGCTAAATGCAATTGAGAGTAATGACGATTAATCTGTGCTCAGTTATTCATTTCTGAATGTTTATTACAATAATAATGTACTTGAAAATTCAGGTACTAATGAGGGAATTACCACAAACTGTTGTGTACAATCCTTTAGTAATTTTTCAGAAATGTAGAGTGGATTAAATGTGTCAGTTAAATCAACTTATATACTGACATTAGTGGCAAAAGTAGAGTATTAATGCCTCCTGTTTTTGTATCAGTAAGGTTGTGAAATTCATATCAAATGTTTTGCTAATTAATTTTTCCATTCACTACTATGCTAGCCGTGTTATCATAATTCAAACACGTGGGAAGGGTGTGAGAAGACTTTCTATTATTAATGAAGTGAAAAAATGTATCTATATTCACAGTTATTGACTTTTAAATTTTTTGTCGACCCTAGGCTCTTCCTTTCTGCTTCTTTTATTATTAATTTTGATTTTATCCTTGAATATGCCTATACACTATAATTATTTATGAAATATAAGCTCATATCTTTATTAAATGAAAATTATTTCATTTGTTGTGCAATAATCATAGAACTGTCATGAATTTCACAGTTTTAAAGGTGTATATAAATTATATTATTTAATGCGAAATAAAAATAGAGGCTTTGCGCCTTTGTCTTTCCTGAAGCAACGCTTGACAATGAATGTGTATACCTTTGGACCAATGGATAATCTATTTAATTCATCAGAGCATGAACAATTCATGTGAAAGAAGAACCTTTCAACACTTAACAAAACAAAATATGTCACTGTTGTCAAATGTTTTTAAATTGTTTTCAGAATTGTGACAAATTTCCAACCCAGAATGTGCAAATATTGGACCCCAAATTTTTGGGTTACATGTTAAAAAAAATTATAATCCTCCCTCAGCTCTTATAAAAAATGTATTTTCATTAGCAATTCATTTTTTGCATTGCACAAAGGCTATGTGACTTACATTATGGATCTCATGTGTGCAACCTGTCCACCAACGAAAAATTAATACCACCATGGTCTGAAGTAGCAAGCTATAATTGTTTTTTTCACACAGAAGTGAATGACAGGACAAATTGGGGACCCTTTAAGATTTTAGGGAACAACTGACAGGAGAGAAAATAAAAAAAATTTAAAAATAAAGAATGAAGAAGAAAAAGGAGAGAAAATAAAAGACAAAAATAAAGGAACGAAAGAAAAGAAAAAAAGATAAGAGAGGGAGGTTTAAAAAAAGAGGAAACTGTTAGTTGTGTAATTTGTTGCATTTTAATTTTGTAAATATTTTAGAAGTGAGCTAGTTCAACATTTACTATGCATTATAATTTCAAACAACTTCATATACTTTACTCTCCTTTAAGTGCTTTATGTGCACACCTTTTGGGTTTGTTCTATTTTAATTTTCATGTATCAAACTCTTATTTAATTTTTGTTTCAAGGTCCCAGTCATATGGGTTTAATGGTATCTCCTTACAAAGGAGTCTCATTGCTGGAGTGGAGTTTTGTTAGTGGGGATCCCTTGGCTGGACCTAATTGGCAAGGCCGTCCAACGTACTTTGTATTTTATGGCTGTGCATCCGATCCAGAACCATGGACATTCTGGATAGATGTCAAGGTATTTATTTCAAGAATTACTCCTCAATAAATCATTCTTCGTCAGAGTTCAGTTAACTCAAACAAATAATGTTCTCCACAGAATTCCTGAGTAGCCTATTCTATGTCTTCGCTTAGAAATTGTTGTGTCAGCACTAAGTTATTTCTCTTTGCTTTTAGGGCAATTTGTTATTCTTTTAAGATCATTTTATTGTTCATTTTTAGTGATGTTTTAGGTCACCATAAAATCGCCCCCCTAATATAATAATGTTTAAATATGTACAGTACAACAGTTCTTTACATACCAAAAATGTCAACGATGTTGCTGTTCTATAATGCAGTTCGTGAATAGCAGTTATTTAATAGTTGTCTCTTCCTTGGAGACTTGCTGTCATATTACATTGTCTGTGTTGTAGGCAGGGAAGCCCTGAGTCTGAGTATTCAGTTAATAAGTGCAGTGTAGGAATAGGCAGAATATTTGCATTTTGCAGTCAAAATGGAAAAATCGATTGATTTTGGGTTTTTCACAAGTTCCTGGGTATATAATGAAACCATAGACATCTCTCACATAGCCAGAAACTGTGAAGTTTTCTTTGAATTTCTGCATGCATTGGAAACTAAAATCAAGAGGGAGAACTTGTAACAATTTTCTAAACCTTTGCAAAGAAAGGGAAAAGACAAGTGATATGGACATCAATATAAATGAGAACAAACAGCACATTTATTTACAGGAGAAACATTTCATTTCTTTGTCCACAAAATGAAACCACTTTTTTACAGCCCTCACTTCTGCCTAGACATTACAAAGAATAATAAAACCAATCTCTAAAGGTTTGAGGTAACACATTGAAAATCAACTAGGTACTTGACACATGTTAGCAGCTGTCATAGGTCATAGTAATATTTTAACATTAAACTTAAATGCTTATTTTTAAACACACCAAAACTTTTATCTACTCTCTGCACTATCATATTCACAGCTAAGGCATAAAACTATTTACAAAAGAATAAAGAAAAATACAAAACTCAGAGGCACCCTAGAGCGCTTTAGTATGTTATTATTTTCATGTATTGCTGTCTGATGAAAAAAATAGTAGTTTTACTTTAAATTAGTTAATATTAAATATAATAATCATTAATTATGTATCATTTTCAGGATCCAAGTGGTCGAAACACTTCCATAGATATAGCTCTGTCAGGCCATTTTTTGCATGGTCCAAACAAGATTACCTCTGAATTACGTGAGCTACTTGCAAATTTTCCTCCATGGACTACTGCAACTTCCTGGACGGCATCATATACATCTTGGAAATTTTGACCTCAGTTACCTAATTAGCTGTGTGGTGGGATATATACCTCTATTTATCTTTTCAATTTTTCTCTCTTTTGTTATTGTTGTTGTTATTATTATTGTTGTAATTTTCGTATTATTTTATACAATAATTCATTCCATCTTACAAACCCATGAAAGACAAGCATGCAATCAGTATTGGAATGTTTTTTAAATTTTTTTGTGTCTCTAAACAAATCTTAATAATGAAATATTTTTAAGTAGAGTTCCCCTTTTCTTTTTGGTTTCTGGAGAATCCATAAAACTATGATGGTAGGAATGACTGAAACATATCGAGAATATTTAAATACAGGAACTTAAAAGTTGCATGTGTGTTAATAGCTACTTTCATGTTTGAAATGAAAGACCTTTTCTAAGCAGTATTACATGTCTTCAGAGCTACATTATATGAAGTGCTTTCGCATCTCAGTTGTAAATATAATCATGGTCTCATTAATCAAATGTCGCACTCACTACAGAGTGACATTCTCAGGAGGCATGTTTTAAATAGACAATATTTCCTATTTTGGTGTGTGTTAATAGCACATATAAGGTTAAGGTGTGTTTAGTACTATTTTTGTTTATGCGATGTAAAAATGTGATAAATTCTAGATTTTTGTCTTTGACTTTCTAGAATTGTTCAGGATAATTAATTATCAGTGCTTAAGGAAAAGTCTAAGATTGTTTTATTTTTTGTTTTGGGCATTTGTTTATGAATCATTGAGGAAAGTGGTGGTATTGTATTTTGTTTAAAACCCTTAGCAGTGTGTGTTTTGGAAAAGTGTATGATATTCATTTATTGATGATTGTATGCGGAAAAATGTTTTTGTTATTGCTCTTTCTTTTTAATTTTTTGAGAGCTTTTTCTTGTTTAAAGTCAGGTTTGCTAACTCTTATTTTTGTTTATGGTTTTTGAATATATCTTTATTCCTTTATTGGAAATAATTTTGACTTTGAAAATTTGGTTGTGAATGAAATTTTAGTTGGTGTATTTTCAGAATATATGAACTATTTGTTTAATTATGATGTTTGAGTTCTTAACGTTTTTCTGAAATCAATACTATTGTCTGATACATTATTATTATTATTATTATTATTATTATTATTATTATTATTATTATTATTGTTATCGTTAATATTATTATGGAATTTTTTATTCACATTGTCCTCATCATAACCATTACACTTTTAAAATTACATTATTTTAATTCCTTTAGGAAGTACTGAACCGATTCACAATTATAGTGAAGAAATGTGAAAAAAATGTATGAAAATGTAAAGTTACTAACATTTCTTTATACATTGTTTTAGATATTATCAGCATCTACAGAAAGATGTGAATGAGAATAGTATTAACATTTAGTACCTACAATTGTTTTATGTAGAACTTATTATGAACTTCAAAAGTTCATTAGTGGTCTCACATAATTGAGTGATAGTTTGACAAATTAAGGTTCGTGCCGAGTTTTATAATGGCCATCAGCTATTGTTGTGTGGGGAATATTGAACTCTGAACAGTGTCATAGACACACTGAAGCTATAATTAATCCTGCATGTGCATATCTAGGTTTTCAAATATACACGTGCGTAATATTATCCAGTCTCTCTTCTGTAGTCCTTGTAGATGTTACATATCAACTGACACTAACCTCTGCATTTATTAAAGCTCTTCTTTTGTACTCGTTGATCCTTATTGGAGATGAGTGGCTAATAGTGATTCTTGTTAACGCTTACTCCATTTTATTCCTCGATGAGAATACAGTACTTACTCTTTATTGCGAAGCTACATCTCAGCATATTTGCATATATTTGTGTGTGAATATTTAGGCCTTTTTGTTACTTTTTTGGGTTGTGTGGTTTAGTGAAACATTTTGTAAATTTCTTACTTAAATAATGTACATTAATAAAACATTGATCAGTCCTATTTCTTGCCTCTGTATGCAATTAGTGCATTATTCAAGCCTTTAATATTTATTGAAACTACTGATGTAGTTCTGTAAGCAGTGCAGAGATCATTCCAATTTTTGCTTTTAAACTCGGAGGGAAAATGGCCATTATGATATTTTAATGTAATTAAACATGACCTATGAAGAGCGTTATTAATTCAAATCTTTCAGTATTCTCTTTGCTAAAAGCTTGATCAAGTTTTTGTTAATCTTTTCTCCATGTGTTGCTTTATAAAGATGTCACCTGACTAAATGTTGCACTTCAACCTGTGAATTATTTATTTGTGTGTGTTTGTAAGTGTTAAGCTGTATATTTTTGAGACCACTTGCAAATGCATTGAAATTTTCCTCTATTGTTCTATGTATTTATTTTAGTAGGGAGATTGATATTCCTATTGTGAAAGGAGTGTATTATATTTTGTAGTGCCCATTATCAGGCAGAAGAGTCTGGAAAAAGGGTAAAATGCCTTTCCTTTTTAATCAAATCTAGGAGTAAGTGATCACTATTGTGATAGTGTATAGAGAAATAGTTTTTCTACCTTTTTAATATAACCTGTTGTATTTACAGGGTAGTTAAATCAGTTAACTATAAATCACATTATTTGCACCTGCATAAACTAGAGAATGTGGTTTTGATACTTCTCTATTTAAATTAAAGACTTAAAGTTATTAAGGAGTTACTAAATCCAATTGGTCTTAAAAAGAATTTTATCTAGGACTGAATAATCTAAGAATTGTTAAGTTATATGTGAAGGTTACTGATAACTTCTATTCTTCATATCTATTTTTTATAAATTATTTTAGAACTCTTGAATTCTGATGTGAAAATTCAATCAATAATGGTTCTTATTTCTGTCTTCAAATTCGCCTTTGAGGGTCAGTAGTTATGGACGGAATTTACAATTGGGAATGAAAATTTGATCATTACCGTAACTTCACATGCATCATTTGTTGTCAAGTAATATTGAGTCTATTTAATATGTTTATATTTTGTTCATTAAAAATATTAAAACTTGTAAACATAGTATTAATGTACACTTAGTCAAAAATATCAATTTTCTCTTTAGTTTTATATCAAATTTAATAAAATATTATATTATACTCTACCAATAAATTAGTTGGAGCTTTTTATAGTGAAGTAGTTCTAAAAAGGAAGAAATCACCTTATAAATAATATAAAACTTGCCTTGACAAAATAGTAAATGAGATAATTCATATTTCCAAAATTTGCTTTCTGTTTCTCTCTTTGTAAGAAGATATAGAAAACATTTTCATAACACCTGCATGGTTTTTATACTTCTTTCCATACTTACTGAAATAGTTACTTCCAGAGAATCTAGTAATAAGAAACTATAGATAGACATTAGTTGCAGTACAAGAAAATTGATCATGCTTTTTACTATTGTAATAGTTTTTCACTATTCCCTACAGAATATGATACAGAACTATGTTGCTTGGATACATATGGTGCATAAAACAGTGAAGATAATAATCTACACTTTTGATTAGAACTGTATTGTTTTAGATAAAAGAAAGTATTGGCTTTAATGTAGCACCCTTTTCTGACAGTGGAAGTGTTTGCTGGCAGTAGTGTTTGTTTGCTAAGTTACGGTTTCAAGAGTAGTGGTAATATTAGAATCTGATATACGCACATACAATATTACAAATGGGCATATACTGAAAGGGTCTAGTCATTTCAAATTTTCTTTTTAGTGAAGATCTTTTATCTCTTCCAAAGCTGTAATTTTTCTGAATATTGCAGAAAATGTAAGTTCTTCTGATCTCAGTATTAAATGAATGTTTGTTACAAAGATTGTAGTAAATTGCAACAAAAAAATATAATAATATTAAAAAAAGAATTTATGCATGCAAATGTGACTAATAACAAAAGCAGGTGATATTTAATGGCTTAAGTGTTAGTTTGTTTTTCTTGTTGCAAACACTGTGATTTCTTATGGTGTTCTCTGAATGTTTTGTTGAGCTTTATTGAAGTGCTTTTAAATCAGCAAAGCAATAATGTGCCTTTTTATGTGATTAATGCTGTAGATTCACGTATTTTGTATTCTGTGTACTGATGAAGTGTTTTTTTATTCCACTGAAGTGCAGTGGTGTGTAAAAAAATTTATCAATTCAACTGCCATTACAGAGAGTTTGTTGCCTCACCAATAAACTAAAGGGGTGGAAAGTAAATTGTCCTCAAAATTGTTATACCTGTCTCAGAGAATGTAAATAATTGTAACAAATGAGATGAGCAGTCAATAATTTTATTGAAAAATATAATCCATGGGAAAGGGTTTAAATATTTGCTTTGTTGTGGAAATGAATTTAATGGGTTGTTGAATTCATGGCACCGATGGACAAATATGCTGTTATTGTTTATTGAAGAACCAAAATTCGTACATTGTATGTTACATACATGCTTGTTATATATATTTCCTGTATGATTTTTTAATCATTGTTATTCAATTACGTATGTGTATTTCTAGCAGAAATTTTATATATTTTTCCATACCTAATGCAAATGACAACCCAGCGTTGTTTATAAAAAATAAGGAAAATACCAGCTTATTTGTTTGTATTTATTCATGTTGTCATTCAAAATGAAAACATGGCACTTTAAATTTTTGTACAATTTGTAAAGAGTCAGTTGTGCAATACAGTCACTAGTGAGAAGTATGAAATAGAATATGAAAATGTATTCACAGTTTTTAAAAAAATACAGTTATTTTATCTGTCCTTTATATTTTTATTTACAGTGTTTTAATTTTTTTTCTTCTTTTGTAGTCAACTTAATATTCATCTGTTTTGTAATTATATGAAACAATGCGCTATTTCAATATTAAGAAGTAAAATGTATTTATAAATGGTGAATAGTATTATGAATTTTAAGCTTCTAATGTCTTCTTGATGACAAATAATATAAACCAGGGGTGTCCAACTTGGAAGGTCTCAAGGGCCACAACTAAAACCTTTAATATGGCTGTGAGACATATTTCCATTATTCAGGTGACCCACATCTGACTTCCCCATATTGTTGACCTTGGCAATTTCCCGGCTGCTTTGAAAAGGGATGGAAGAATTTAATCACACATGGTATTAAGTCTTAATATGAATGATGCAGTGGGATGATTGTGCATTTCTGAATTTACTACAGAAAAACAAAATATAAACTTCATCTATTTTAACATTAAGTGGGTGTTGACCCCGGCAGGGCACATGCACTAGGTGCACAATATACTCTCACCCAACATGGATGCAAAAGACTTTAACTTTTGACTAATAACCTTTCGCAATCCATGATAAATGGAACTGCAGGCTGCGAGTTGGACAACCCTGATATAAACTATTCAGTATTATTAATTTATTAATTTCATTTGTGAATATTGGACATGGAGAACCAATTTCAAAGTGTCACTGGAAATCTGAGTAGGTTGAGATAAGCTTATCCACTAAATTATTCAAGAAAAGTTGTTAGTGTGCAGGTCTGTCTTAAACCTTTCAACGTTTTCAATAATTAGCACAATGGTTGAGCGTAGATATGAATTATTATTTAAATAAAATTTAGGAATGAGTCGTGAGAATTACAGCACTCACAAAAAGTCACATGTCATGTTTAATAATAATGATAGCAATGTACTTCAAGTTAATGACATCAAATACGAGGCCTCAAAACTGTTATTTGAAGACTTGGACGTTTTGCTTGATAATTTTGTTCAAATGATATTTAAATGCATGTTAATACATTCCATTTCTAGTAATCAAAATGTTACTAGAAATGTGGAAGCATTTGCATTGTGGAGGGAAGTACTAGTGCTTTTAACATATTTATTGTTTCCTTTAAGCTTTGTATTTTTATATCTCCAGCTTCATATGCACATGCATATCTAGATATTTAGTAGGGTAGAGGCAATGGGGCTTGTATTCTTGTAGTTGAGAATAATAATATTAAATAATTTTTCATATGTACAAAAAGGTAATTTCATCAGTAACAGACATAATATAGTTATTATAGACATTTATTCAACTTTCTAAATGCTAAATCCTGTGCCAGAGCTAGGAATGGACAGAACGGGTGATCGCCATGGGTCCCGCAAGTCAAGGGGCTCAATGATGGGATTGATGGGAAAAAATTGGTTAAAAATTGAACAAGAAATTAGAACTTGAGAAAATATTTAACGTAATTTTATAAGTCACAGTACAGTAGTCTGTTATTTCACATAATTTTCAATTAATCATTTGTCTAAATAGTTAATTATAGTCGTTACTTGTAAGGTAGGAGTCAGTGAAATGAATCAAATGGTGCTAACATTAAAATAGGTTCTACAGAAATTCATATTTATTATTTCATGTATTGAACTAGTAATTTTATTAAACACAACATTTTTTTTGCGTTTTAAGCTCACCTATAGTATTATTGATCACTAAATACTTTTACTTAAAAGAATTTTTTTAAAGTATACGTATGTTTCAAAACTTTTTCTAGCTTAAACATTGTATTTTTTGTTATTTGTTGGAATAAAATAACTCTTACAGTTTCTTGAAATACTTTTCACATTTTTAATTTTTCCAGGTGGGTGGGGACTACTGAAGTATGTTTTGCATTTCTTATGCTCTGAGCGTAATGTTATTTTAAATGTTAAGAATACATCAAGAATCAGTTTAATATTAACTACTTCCTCAGTTTGAAGGAAAGGAGAAGTTTAATTTGAATTTTGTGCTAAATATTAGATATGAAGTTACAGCCAAAGTACTTTTTTAACTGCAAAGGATATAGCTAAATAAAGAGGTTAAAAGTGCCTGACCCTAAACCAAATTGATAATTATTATACTCATATCAATGAGAGCAAACAATGCTGTAGATTCTCAAAACATTAGCCTCGTAGGGCAATCTTGCAGAGATACAATGAGAAACTTCATTTTCATGTCAGCTTCTATTGGATGAAACAGGCTGGAAAAAAAATTACAGAGACTGGGAAAAATAGTTGAATTTTAAGGTATTTTTGTCAATCAAATTTGGTTCCAAATTGAAAGAGAAAAAAAAGCAAATTTTTGAAATTAATTTTCAATGTAATAAGATTGGAGTCCTGACTCAGTTTTTCCCCTTAGAATATGTCTCATAACATTCTACAACATTTATTTTTTTTCAGATTTTTAAACATTGTAGGTAGTAAAAAACAAAAAAACAAAAAAAAGGGGGAAAGTGTTAAACCTTCAGAAATTTAGAGTAGACTGTTTATAAACAAATGTATGATCCCAGCTATTGAAAAAGCCATTGAAAATGATTAATTATCTATGATTGTCTAATTGCATCCCTTGGTGAAGACAAGGTTGTTAGCCTTGAATATCAATTATGGGGTGATATTATTATTATTATTATTATTATTATTATTATTATCATATTTATATATTAATATATTTATATTATTATATTGGCATGTAGGCCATTAATGACCATACTACACAATTAACATGTGTAATTTTTCCAGGATCAGCTTTTCAGCTGTATCCCCCAGTACGACAAGGTTGTTTCGTGTTGAAGTGTGAATTATGAGATGTTAGGATGATGATGAGGGGTGAAATGACAATCACAAATACAACCATGTCTACGCAGGACTTGAACCTGCAGCCTCCTCACCGCAGACGACGGTTCCCGCAACCGTGTGTGCCATGGGGCCGACATTATTATTATTATTATTATTATTATTATTATTATTATTATTATTATTATTAGCATATAGGCCATTACTGACCATGCTACATGATTAATATGTGTAATTCTTCCAGGATCAGTTTTTCAGCTGTATCCTTGGATTACGACAAGGTTGTTACGCCTTGAAGTGTGAATTATGAGATGATAGGTGATGGGACAATCACAAATATGAATGGATTAGGAGGTGATAGGATATTGGTAAAAGGTGATCGTAGACGTTTCTGAACCATCCCAGCATTCGCCTTATGACCGAGGGAAACCACGAAAACCCCGGTCAGGATGGCCGGCCCGGGAATCGAACACGGAC